TGTGATCGGAATCCTTTACAACGGTATGAAGGTTGGCGATGAGCGCTCTACATGTGTGGTACCAACATCTTCTTTTTCCAAAAAAAAAAATTATTGCAGGGAATATAGCTTCATAAATTACTTAATCCTGTATGCAAAACGAAATTAATCAGGGTCAAGAAATAAGGTCTCTTGTCTTAAACAGGATAGCGAAATGAGCGATTTTTGGCTTAAATAGGGTACCCAAACTTTTCCTTGAGTACAACCCCCCCTCCCCCGGGTTGGTTCCTTCCTATACGAACTCATCAATTACGGATCATAGCTTGTAAAACTGACTTAAATTCTCTTCTGAAGGATGGAGCGATTTTCGTTTGACCTTGAGCGAAACTAATACAACAAACGAACAAGAATATATAATTACCATAAATTTGATTAGTTCGGCAATCAGACGCAAATGCACAAGGCCTTCTATTATCTACTAAGTAGACTCGCAAGGCATTCCTAATTAAGAAAAGATTACTTTAAAATAATTTGGGGCAACTGAAACTGGGCTGATAATATTTATTGGACAATCGAGTGATGTTTACTGAACTTCAAGGCTTTTTTTCCCCTCGATTTTTCGAGTGTCCATATTTCAATCCTTAATTAGTGGCCGACAGAAAAAATAGTAATAATGAAATAACGAACACTTGCGGCAACCATTTTTTGAGGTAAAATGGAAATGTTTTCAATATCTCCATTTAAACAACACGAAGCAAATCACACAATCAAATTAGTCAGAAAGGTCGTCCAAGGTTAATGCTTTACAGAGCCAAAAAATAACTAGGCAGAACACACCCGAACTTGGTAAAAATGGGAAAAACAATGCAAAAAATAAAATACACAAAATATCGGTACAAAAAGAAGTAAGGACCCAAAATACCTAAACGCGATCATTGAAAGGGCCGCGCCGAACGGGAAAGTGCAACGAGCGAAAAAGAGGTAAAAAGGTCGAGGAACAGTGAAAGGCTTTTTGAATAGGCCTTTTATAATCAACTTTGTAGACGTATTATTTTTGTCTTATATCCGACCGGAAAGCAAACGGTGAGAACGTTTCACCTGAATTCAACTGAAAAATACAATTTTGGAAGCAAGGACCAACGTTACAAGTAAAAAGATCGGATGCTAATAAAGGACCTAATCAGCTATAAGTTGATATATCGAACAAAAGAATATATATTTCCGAGGGAAGAAAGCTAGAGGAGACAAAATAAGGTACTGCATGAGAATTGTAGTCACCGAAGAACATGAGGCGGAGGGTGCGTTTTTGAAGAATAAGAATTTTGTTTTTGTGAGTTTTAGCAGCTTGGCCCCAAGCGACTATGCCATACAATAAGTAGGGCTGAATAAGAGATATGTATATGTTGTGTAAGGTATTCAGGGGTACAAAGTGTCTAAGGCTGGCAATGATGCCAATTGTTTTACTTATTTTTGAGGCGATGTGAGCGATATGGTATTTCCAAGAAAGATTTTCATCAATAAGCACACCTAGATATTTGACATAATTTTTGCATTCTAAAGAAATGAACGAGTTGTTATGATGGTCAAACACTTTCAAGTTGACTTGGTGATTTAACTTTTTTTGTCTTGGTCTAAAAATGACAAAGTTAGATTTCTTTATATTTAGTGATAATTTATTTGCGATTAGCCAATTATAAACCCTAAAAATTTCTGCATTAACTGTAGATTCAAGCGATTTGAGATTTTTGTCAGCATATAACAAATTAGTATCATCAGCAAATAAGTAGAACTTCAATTTATCAGAGCTTTTAGATATATCATTAATATAAATAAGGAATAGTAAGGGTCCTAGGACCGATCCCTGTGGGACACCTGATAACACTACTTCTTTTTTAGATATGTTTTTGGGACCAATTTGTATTGTTTGTTGACGACCCACTAGGTATGATGCAAACCAATCATTAATTATTCCACGTACTCCATAATGATTTAATTTTCTTAATAATATTGAATGATTTACTGTGTCAAAGGCTTTTTGTAAGTCAATGAACACACCACATGAGTACAACTTCTTATCCACGTTAGTTTCAATTTCATTAATTATGTCTAAAATAGCATGCTCAGTAGACCTTTTTTCACGAAAACCATATTGTGAATCATGGAGAATATTGCACTTTTCAATAAATGACTTGAGGCGATTATACATCATCTTTTCAAAGATACGGTTAAAAATGGAGAGAAGCGATATGGGTCTATAATTGGAGGGGTCAGATTCATCGCCACTTTTGTAAACTGGAATTACTTTGGCAAGCTTTAATTTAGATGGATAGGTTCCATATTCAATTGATTTATTGATAAGCATAGATAGAGGTTGGCTTATAATATGTTTAGCCGATCTTAGAATGCGAGTGGGAAATGAATACAGCCCGTGTGCCTCGTTTAGTTGAATAGTCATTATTTCAGAATCAATTTCAGAAGGAGATACAGGGTTAAAAAGAGAATGAACTAGCAAAGTCTAACTTTGGTAGATAATCAGTAAATTGCTTTGCTGAGTTTGGCTGTCTCCGTTTACATTAAAAATCGAGGTTTCAGTACTTCTGCATCTAACATGATAAAACTGTCAGTTAATGAAACAAAATGGAGTTGTTTGTTAGCCAGGATCCGCGCTCTTATTCTTTATATTTCGATTTGAATATTTGATTTCGGGCCCGTAAAGTTACCGGGACTTTCGAGAAACGGGCCCCTGGTTAACAGAAAAAATTAAATCGTATAATGCTAAACACGGACTGCAATGAGAATGGCATCAAGATCAATAGATCTAATTAGCAAAAAAAGAAATTGCACGTGCAGCACACTTTTTTTTCTAATTAGCAAAAAGACAAATTTGCACGTGCAGCACGCTTTTTGTCTTTCTTTGCCGTTGTTTTGCACATCGACAACGCTGTTTTGTAAGACTAAATCGTCAAACTTCCTAGTTACACACTATTTTTATGGAGGAATTGTCGTTTGTGCTTACCCAAAATTTTGTCTCCTGTGTTCATGTTCGCTTTTATTTTTCACTGCCCCTCATTTTCACCTTGATGGACGGTAGCATTTCTCATTGTCTCACCGCCGCTTGGAATTTTCATGTTTTTCTTCCCACAAAATTCGTCTCTTTTGTTTTCAGTCGCTCTCTCTAGCTCTTTCACTGTTATCCACGTGAGTGTAAACATCAAAAATAACGTCGAAAAAGACAGGACAGTGTTGTTGTTTTTTCTTTCTTAAAGTCCAGGCGGCCACGCGATTTCTTTCCAAATAAAACCTTGAGTTGCGTTTCGGTTGCCGTACCTGTTGATTGAATTATTTTACATTGGTATACCTGTGGTGCGGATGGACTCTCGGGCGGTCGGTGTACGGTCACGTGATTACCAAATTTTCTCGGATGGGTAGTTTACGACATTTTCTTACCCATGGTGCTCTGCAACGTGCGCTTCGCGCGCGAGAGCTCTGCTATAATCTGTGGAGGTTGGGGACCTCAGGTACGTGAGGTAACCCGCCTGTCCATATAATCTCTCATTTTAATGTGATCACGTTTAGATGATTGGTAGGGTAACCATATGAGAGATTATATGGACAGGCGGGTTACCCCACCTAAGCGGGTAACCTCACCTACCTGAGGTCCCCCACCTCCATGTAAACAGACCCTGTTTCAGAGATAAAACAAATCATATTATTATCTGAAAACATAAATTTTTTATTATGTGAATGTTCTATACAAGTTTGCTCGAAATGTTGCAGAATAAAAGCTTAACTTATGATTTTCAAAGCGAAGGTATGCAACGCATCTTTAGCTGAAATTAACTGCTTTTTAGAAAGAGCCATAAAAGATCTCTTACCTGCAGCCAAACATACTGTATTTACAATGTTGCTTTCTCAAAGAATTAGCTGAATACAAAAGTCTCGTCAACAAACACCTTCACAAAGATGACGACGACGATGATGATGATGATGATGATAAAACCTTGGTTGGTTTGAAACAGTGAACGCATGTTTACCTGACCAGTTACAAAATATGAAGGTGGAAATGATCCAGAAACTGGAAAAATTCCAAACGGGAATCGAACCGGCCTGACCTTTGCGAAGACCGGACGCAACGCTCTGTCCATTAAGCTACTGGAGAGCAGGCCACTGTGACGATCATTTCAGGCCATTGCAAGGATCATTTCCACTTTCATGTCTTTATCCGAAGTTCAAAATAGAAGTCATTTCATATATTTCCATTCATGTCTCCGAACTGAGAGATGTAATAAGAGGAAACTAATTCACATACTAAATTATTTTTCCATGTACTAATATTAGAGAGGTTAAGCATCACATATTTACGCCAAACGGCAAACGCCAATTTGTACCATGTGACCAAGTTTTCACTTCACATGTCGTTTTAATACTGTTCATTATTTCTACACCTGCATTAGTAGATTCACACAACTTTTATCAATACGAATTGTTTTGAGCTGTTTTTATCTGCTCATTTTCTATTTTGAGAAGTTGAATCTGGCGTTTGCCGTTTGCCGTATACGTGAAGCTTAAACTCTCAATTTTCTCACGGACAACCAATACCTTTTTCCTCCGTAAAGTGGAGAAAAAACTCACGGCCATAATTTCTCGTGACCTTCATGTGTATGGCAAACGGAAAACGTGAATTTGTTCCACAGCACGTGACCAGGTTTTTTTCCCTTTACTGGTCTTTAACAATTCTTTTCTTCCACAAAAACGAAGTAGTTTTTCGTTATTTTTATCCATGAGAATTGTTTTGAACTATTTTATCTGCTGAGTTTCTATTTTGAGAAATTCTCAACAAGAGTCTGCCGTTTGCCGTAAACGTGATTTTAAATCCCTTGATTGTTGTTTTGATTCATCACGCGCCGCAAAATAACGCAACTAAATGAAAAGCCATCTATCTGTGTCGTAATAGCCCAGCAGATGTCTCCTTCACACCAGATTAGACTTAGCGTTCGTTTGATCACACAAGTCTTTGCTGTTCACACCACTGGCTGGGGTTCGCTGGTGGGAGGTCGCTTTGGGCTCGCTCTCTGTTCACCCGGCAACAATTCTCCTTCGTACAAGTTTTCTGTTGAAAACAAGGCAAGAAAAAAGTCAAAGGATAGGCTTCAATATACCACAGGCCGCCAAATGTCACAGGGTTGGCACGTTCACGGATAATTCAAATTCCTAGCGAGGACCTAAACTCAGCTGGATGTCATTTCACCAGCAAAGACTGTATTGTACTTAGGTTTGCATTGTTGAGAACATTCACTGCATTGCTGAGAACATTCGTGACTGCTTTATAAGTAATTTGTTGTGGCCTCGTTTTAGTATTTTTTGCAGACCTCGTGGTTAGCAAAAAAGACGTATCTGAAGCATTTTTGACCTTGCTCCTGTTCGGCTTTCTACTATTTCTTACTTGTACTCGTGGACAGGATTGTGGATATTAAACCTGTTGAGATTTTCGGCGATTTATTTGGTGTGGTCTGCATTTCTTTCCCCTCAGCATATTTTGGTAGAGTCGTTGCCACAGTGCGTCGCACCAATTACTGCGAGCCCGTAACAGTTCCTTGACATTAGGGAGCTTTAGGAACGGCGACGGCAACGGCAACGAGGACGTCAAAAAAGCAATGGGTTTATTACGCAAAACAACAACTTTGCACGCGCACCACGCTTTTTTGTACATTTCTTTACAGTCCTTGCACGACTACGACGTGAAAACGCCTAATTGCAAGTTTTATGGAGGACGTAAACAAGCGACGACGAATCTCTTTTTCTCTCTCTAAACTTGAGTGCGCTCCTCAAGAAATCAACTCCAGGGAAATTCGCCTACACTTACCATTTTCAGCAAATTGGAATAAACGCGACAAAGATTGAAAAGACGGGAATTCATTTTAAAACTGACGTTTTCGCTGCCGTTGCCGTCGTCGATGCTAAATAAACTTTGCGGCGAACCTCCTGAAGTTGAAAAGGGACAATATTTCAGAAAGAGAAAAAAATTTCGTCGTTGCTTGTTTACGTCCTCCATAAAACGCGAAATGACGCATTTTCACGTCGTAAACAAAAAGTGTGATGTGCGAAGTTGTTGTTTTGCTAAATAAACCAATTGTTTTTTGGACGTTCTCGTTGTCGTCCGCGTCGTTGGATCTTAAAGTCCCTATTAAGGAACAACGACGGCGACGGCTACGAAAACGTCACTGAAAAAGTGAATTCGCACCGCTTCAAACTTTATAGCGCTTATTTCATCTCTTCAAATGTCGTCAAATGTTGACAAATCTTTTTGGAGTTGAGTTCTAAAGGACTGTATCAAAGTTCAGGAAAAGAAAAAGAAAATTGTGTTCCCGTCCTCGACAAAACGTGATGCACGTGTAAAGTTGTTGTTTTGGCAATATCAACCTATTGCTTTTTTGCCGTTCTTGTTGACGCCGCGATCGTTGTTGCTTAACCTCCTAAAGAGCACCACATCAGGAACTACGTTCTCTACTCTCCCGGAGAGGGCGGGTGTGCTCTTTATGACCAGTGTGTGGGCTCTTTAACGTCCTACAGAATTTATGTGTAAGGGTTGTGAGACGGGACCTACGGTTTATCGTCCTTATCCAAGATGACTAGAAAGTCTAACCGTTTGCAGTATCTTTACAAATGAAGCACTTTTTTGTCAGTTATTTAAAGACTCTAAATGTTGGTCCCGCCGGGGTTTGAACCAGCGATCCCCCGCTCGGCAGACCGGCGCTTATCCAACTGAGCTAACTGGGCGGCGGTCAATTCATTCAAAGTCAGCAACACTGTACTTACTTGCAGTGTAGTCTTTTGTGGGTTGTAGAGCCACGAGAATCCAGCCCAATACCGCTCCTAACACGCGCATTAGATTGATGATCCTCCACGTGTCCAGCAGTGAGGATGTCTCGGTGTCATTCCTTCAAATACGGAATGTTAAAATTAAAGGTTTTCTATGGCCACTCAAACGGAAAAAATGTTTCAAATATTCTACTTATTAAGCAGTGACCAAGATCAAATCCACTCAAACAATAAGATAAAAAATAATAAAATTTCAGATGATATTATCAAATTCTCTTAATCATTTAAAAAAAAATGTATCGTCTGTTCGGTCATTAAATGGGAACCTCGTCCGTTCGGTCAGGCCGAGACCTTGATGTATTGACCGAGCGATAGCAAGCTCACAATGTTTATTACCGCTGTTTGTGTTTAATTTTTTATCAAACTACGATGGCCCAAGAACAATAGTCTCTATAACACCACATTAACCGCTCAGCCACCTACCAAAGGTGTCCATGTTCTTTGTAAAGACTAATTCTGTCATCAATATTTGCTACACTTATAGAGAACACAAGAGCAAAGAGATACGCTGTAAATAAAGAAAACAGAGTGGTATTGACATCAGTGTTGACAGGTATGGTTATTTGAAATCACATTTTAACTTAAGTTACTAAATAAAATAGAAAGTTCTGTTGCAGTGGGAAATTTCAAGTAGAGAGTTGTTAAGTTTTGATTGTTTTTTTTTCTTACCACTTATTGAGAGTATCCTGGAAGGTCTTGTAAGTAAGCCTTGAAAAAATCCAGACCGTGGATTCGCCATGTCATATCTTTAATAAACAAAGATATACATTGGTTCTAAGTTCTAAGTGCAGGGTGGGAGGCCTGTGCTCTTGTCTGTTTTGGAGTTTGTTTTAATTTCTCAGAAATAACATTACTATTACTGATTTACAATAATAGGGGCTTTAAGATCTGACGGAGCGACGGCAACGAAAACGCAAAACAAAAACAATAGGTTTACTACGAAAACCAACAATTTCGTACATGCATCACACTTTTTTGTACATTGCTTTGCTGTTTATGCACGCCTACGACGTGAAATTGTCTAATTTCACGTTTTATGGAGGAGGGAAACAAGCGAAGGCGAAATTTTCTTTCTCTTTCTGAACTTGAATATGGTTCCGAGGAATTAAACTTCAGGAGGGTTTGACAAAGTGAATGTTGGTCGTTTTGCCTACACTGAGGTCGATTCGCTTACACGATCTTAGTTGTTTCGCCTACACATCTAAGATTAGCCTGCGAAAACATCCGTTTCTCCTCGCTCTTCGCCGCTGGGGACGTTTCGCGCGGAGGAACGTCTGCGACTCAGCGACAGAAATTCCATACTGATGACGCAAATCAATGTTTACATGATAAATCCGGTAGTCATGGGGTTCCAAATACAAATTTGTCCAATTTTACGCATCTGCTGGTCGATTTTGGTTAAGTGTTGTGTTCATATGCCAACGAGCTCCAGCAAAACTCAAACGCTTCTTCTAGAGAAGAGTATATTCCACAAATATTGACTGTTTTGCTAGAGATTCTTGGCGTTTTCATTTGACCTTTGTGGCCTTTTGTCCGTCATTCGTAAACAATAGCCAAAACAATGTAACTACTCCGTTGACCAATCAGCGCTTCTGACCGAATTCCGGACAGATTTTACATCATCAGTATGGAATTTCTGTCGCTGAGTGGCAGACGTTCCTTCTCGCGAAACGTCCTCAGCGGCGAAGAACGTAGCCTCCCACGCAGGCGTTTTTAGGGGAGCTCGTTTTTCATCCCTCCCCTGTGGGGAGGGATGAAAAACGAGCTCCCCTAAAAACGCCTGAGTGGGAGGCTACGAAGAACGAGGAGAAACGGATGTTTTCGCAGGCTAATCTCAGTAAGGTTGATCAGTTACGTTAAAAATTGCCGATAAGTAACTGGAACAACTTAAAAAAAGTGGCCTTTGTGGCGAGGTGGCCGTTAGTAGAGGTTCAACTGTATTTGATCGGTTCCACTCAAAAATTCGTCCAATGCCGTTTGAACGTAGCCTAAATAGAGAGGAAAAGTGTGTCGTCACGTTACCATGGTAGCAAAATTTCTACGACCGTGACAGCAACGAGAACACCAAAACTGCAATTTTTTATTTTTTTACGTTTAAAAACGATAAAAAAATTCCAGCAGGCAAATGCGACAGCTATGACACGTCGAACCAATCAACTCAATAAGATCAGTCAGAAATTTTCTCCCGAACGAGGCTAAGTATACATTATCATACACATGTTTAATTAGTAGTTTAGTTCTTTGCATGTGAAGATCGACGTTTGTCCCGGAGACGATCTTCAGACGTTCTATCCATCTGGAGCAGACGAATAGAACGTGTTGGACAATCCAAACTCATTCAGACGAACTTAACTGAGCCAGACGTCGAACTTTTCATGAAGTTAACTCAATAAGTTTAGTTCGTCTCATGAAAATTTCGACGTTTGGCTTAGGACTTAGCGTTTGGTTCATCTTATGAAAAGTTCGACGTTTATTTAGCCTAGGCATTACTTGAAATATCTTAAATGCAATCTTCCGTAAGAGAAATGAAACACAAACCTGTCAAAAACAGAGACTGTGCAGATGGCAAAGAGCATATAGTAAAGGGACTGAAGAGGTTGTGCCAGCTTGTAATAGTTTTCTAAGAAGTTTCCATTCGCTGTTCCATTGTTACTCAGCGAGTACACAAAAATAACCTGACAAAGTGCAAGTCCTGACAAATAGAACAAAAGGAAGATTTAAAATTTATTTGTGTGTCCCACCATGCAAGTGCAGCACTGTGAAATACATCTTGTTACGGTCCAAGTCTTCAATCAGCAACATTGTTTGTTGAGACACTTTTGCCCAAGGACATTTCTTATGTTTTGATTTCGAAAAGGGAAGATAAAACTTCCTCTTCACCAGGAAGTGTGTGGTTTTGTTGCCGGTGCGGTCAACGAGAACGGCAAAAAAGCAGTAGGTTTAGATTGGCAAAAACACAACTTTGCACGTGCATCACGCTTTTTTGAACATTTCGTAGCCTTCCTTGCACGTCTACGACGTTGAAGTGCTTAACAGTTACATTTTGTCCAGGACGGGAACACAAGACAACAACTTTCTTTTTCTTTTCCTGAACTTAGATAGAGTCCTTTAGAATTCAACTCCAAAAAAATTTGCCAACATTAAACGAGATGGAACAAGCACGATAAAATTTGAGGCAGCACGAATTCTCTTTTTAAGTGACGTTTTTGTAGCCGCCGCCGTGGTTGTTGCTTAAGCTCCCCAATGTTGTTCTGTTCAAACAGCTTGTAGGAAATAACAATAAACGCAACGTTGAATGAAAAGGTGGTGGCGGTAGTAGGGGTGGGGGGGGGGGGGGGAGATGGCAGATTGTTTTTTCGCCAAAAAAATAACATCTTTGGTCACAGTGTCTCAACAATTTTGTTGCTGATAGATCGTGCAAACTACTATTGTTGAAGATTACTTTCAGGCACGCGTAGACCACCAACATTTTCATGTGTTTATGCACTGGTGTAAAAGAAGTATAAAAATGTTACATTTAATAAATGGGACCTTACCTGCAAGAAGTCCATGGCAGAAGAGGGAAAAAGATCTGAATGCTCGGTGGACAGACTAATGAGAAATGAAAAGTATTACATTCAAAATATAAGTGACTGTAGTCATTGGCTTTCTTTTCTCTGGGAATACAGGCCATTTTACAGTTGAGGGCTTAGTATGCTAGCCTTTGACTGAACGTGAGGCTGAGGTCAGGGGCGGATCTAGGGGGAGGGTGTAGGGGGTGCACACCCCCCCCCTCCCGAGATGACCTGCGGTTTTCTAATACAACGGGTATTCTGCCAAAAAAAAAAACTATGTGGTTTATTGGTGTTGAAGTACAGCAAGAGACGAGTGCACCCCTCCTACAAAAAAATCCTGGATCCGCCCCTGGAGGTTGACCTTGTTTTGATACAAACCTCCTTCCTTTTCTTATGGAAATTATGCTTTAAAAATACTAGTTACCATAAGAACAACATGATTTACATAACAAAGGAGGCAGGTTTGTATCAAAACAAGGTCAACTTCAGCCTTGTTTCCACCTGTAACTGTAGAATGGGCTATACATAGCACATATTTCCATAGCAAATATGGCATATTCTGGGGTCAATTAAATAAAACTTTTACAAGTGTAGCCATTGTTTTAGAGTTTGAAAGCAATAGCTACACTTGTACATTACACTTGTAAAAGTTTTGTCAAATTGATCCCCAGACCCTTGGCCACTTTCAGGAGTAAAGAATGTACACTGTATATGGTCAATGTATCTGGATTTAAAGCATGCGTTATATTCTGATTGTAGAATAACCATACCACAGCAAACTCTGCAGTTGTCATCTGTCTGTTTATTGGAGCAGACTGTGGTTCTTTCTTCTCTTCTTCCAACTGCAACATCCTTGTTTTCCTTTCCCGTGTGAAGCCATGTCCATCTGGATGCAAAGAAAATGATCAACAATTGACACTGACAAACCGGTATGCACACAAATCCTTTACAAAGAACTGTAGATTTATGCCATCTCAAACTCATTTTACCAAAAGAAATCAAGCACCATTAAAATCCCTACTCTGGATAAACCTGTAATTCAACCTTCAGATAGTGTGATTTAGAATTTCCCAACCCTAGTAATATTTTCATTCATAGAGGACAAAATGGATTTTACCTGCAACCACTACAGCTTTAGAGGCCACAAACACAGTAATTTTTTTCTAGGTACTAACCTGCTGAATGCTTGAAAAAGGTTACAGCACTTACATTGTATTATAATATAGTGCTTGTCTGAAGGGCAAGAGGGAAAATAAATTTTTTCTCTTTCTCTGTTAAAGAGCAGAGGAATGTTGGATAAAACTGAAGTCAGCCCACCTCTTCTTTCAATAAAAAGCACATCTAATGGCTGACTGGGCAAAGTCTGTGCGACAGGAGGTAGAGCAGGAGGTGGAGCAGTCTCTTGTGTGTCACCAATTACTATGTCTTCCTTATCAACTCTGTAGTAATCAGCTGTTGAAGCTAAAAAAACACAGAATCAGTGCCATAAAAGGAAAAAATACAATAATGGGGAGTACTCCCTTTAATGGCCTTTATGGGAAAGCTCCGCCCAAAGGGTCCTAGGGTATACCTTTTTCAGGCTTCAGGCATATGGAAGGATTGGGATTTCACTTGTTAAAGTATATGAAAGGGTAGGGAAATCTATCAGTTTTGTCGGTAAAAAGGCTCAAAAGGGCTAACAGATGCATTTTATAGCTGAGAAGATTGTACAATGAGTGCATTTACAGCAGTTGAAAGGGATGCAAAGTTCTAAACTAGGTATGTGAAAGGGGTACCATTTACCAATGGAAAGTGTATGAAAGGGGTACCTTTCCTGTCAAAAAATGGTATATAAACAGGGTTTGAGCCAGGCCGCGCTATTGCGCCAATCCTGCACTGCAATTGGAATTGTCCCTTTAAAAAATGGCCAAGGGGACAATTTGTCCCCGTCAAAATTTAGGGAAAAAACTCGAAAGGAAGCACACACGAAGAGATTTATTTCAGTACAGAAATTGCAAGCTGGAACAGATTGTGGAAAGTATATTTTATCGCACCTTTAAAGTTCATTCCAAAGTTACGTTTCAGTCACGCTCTACCGCTATTTTTGTCGGAAATCTAAGACAGGGCTTCTGATTCTTCGCGCGGTCGCGGAGCCGCGAAATTCACAAAAACACGAAAAATACCGGGAAATTCGGTAGAAATCTTATCAAATACATGTCTGTACAACATATTTGAAACTTATTTCAGCTATAGGGGCTATTTACTTGCCGTAAACTTGCAAATTTACCTTGGAACTTCGTCACCGAAACGTGCAAACAGATTATGTTGCGAAAAACTGGGCACTAGCCATGATGTTAAAGGCTTTGCCATTGGTTCATTTCTGGAGCGTATTGTTGTTGAAAGAGCAAATGATGACCTCTTTTAGAAAAACGTTAAAAAGGCTGGACTGATCAGCGCAAAACCGATCGATTTCTAGCAAAATTTGCCTTGAAAATAACCACAAAATCGGGCGTTTTTTACCGATTGCTTTTTGGTGAAGTTTGCCCCGAAACTCCCGCGAAATCGGCCGATTTTTCCGTGAATTTGTCCCTAAAAATCCCGCGAAATTTGACTTTTTCTTCTGAGACCTATCAGAAGACCTGCTAAGGAGACAAACCCCTTTGCATCAGCAGAAGGGTGTACAAATTTCTGTCCCCCTAAAAATGAAAATGTCCCCCAAAATTTTAGCCAAGGGGACAAATTGTCTCCCAGTGATCAAATCCTCGCTCAAACCCTGTATAAATGGGGATTAGGGGTTGGACCACAGGGCGGCACCTCCCCATATAAAACATTGAGTACCACCCCTACAGGTACAGTCAAAACTACTTCGAGCAGACACCCTCATTTTAAGCAGAAAAGAAGAAAAAGTTTGTTTCACCCTTTAAGCCCCAAGATCCACATACCAATATTATTCTCCAGACTAATCTCCATACATTTCATTACAGAAAATTTTAGTTGAGAAACTTTGACAAAAGATCAAAGTATTTTCCCTTCTCATAACCTTTCTCTTGATTATCTATTGCTATTTTTAGGAGAAAATTGATTTTGGTCACTTTTGAGAGCATCAGCTGTATATGTTATGTTATCTTTCCTAGAATCACCTTCTCCATCAACGTCAGCATTGTAGTTGTCCTCTTCAGCAGATGTTCCGTTGTGCTGTCTACTGAGGGAAATGAAAAAAACTCTCTTGTTATCGACCAAAGTAATTACATGTACCAGTATCTTACTTCTTTGAATCATACTCTTGCATACAACAAATTTCATTTCTTTATCATAATACAATGTATGCTACACATTTTAGTTACACTGAAAGAATACAATGATGTGGGTAGCATAGAATAGTAACAACAGTTTAAATTTTACATGTAGCTTTTGTCATCTGAAGGATGAACAGTCGGTAAAACAGCCTTAAACTTAAAATGTAATGAATGAGACAATCAAACTGTTTAATAAGATTCTGTACATCTTACTATTATTGAATACGTTCACCAAAAAGTTATCATCTATCACTGTATGTAAAAAGAAAGTTCATAGTGCTACCTCATTTTTGCTGTTGGTTGCAGCAAAATACATTTTATAAATACCTTTTCTTTGTTTTATGCTTTTTGGATCTCAATTTATTTGGATCTCTAGGGCCATCATATCCTTCATACTCAGGACTATACTCCTCGCCATTGATAACATCTCTAGAACCTTAAAAATATAAATTATTAAAATAAAATACTCAATAAAACTTTCAAAACGTAAGGGGTAAAATCAGTAAAAACCACCCATAGGGACTCTCATGTCACTTACTTATGGCCTATCAGATCTCTTTTTCATTACGATAGAAAGACTTGGCCTATAAAGTTTCATGCTTCGTAAACAAACATCATAAGAAAATTGTCATGACCGGCATTGTGTTGTGATATTATATCCATACCACCCAGACAGGGACATGTCTATGACCACCCATCCTTTGAACCCAGACAATCAGGGTAAAAGGGAAGAATTTTTGTAAATCCTCTATTAAGCGCCCCCTCTCTAATAAGCCCTCCCTTTTCAGGGGAACAAAGTTAATAAGCCCCCCTCCCCTCCCTTTATTATTCTTCACTAATAAATGATAGACTGTAGCAGGGGGGGGGAAGAGACGAGGTCTGGGACCAAGAAATGATGTTCTCACAACTTGCAAAGCGGTCACCCAGCGTGGTGGTCAGCGGATAATTACAGTATTTTTCCCACAGTAAATATTTTAGAAGCAAGAATTAAAGCGGACCGACAGAGGAAATCAGAAATGCATAAAAAATTGAAAAAAATCATATCATGCGTCTTTGTTTTTCTTGCATATCGTATTTGTCTTTCGGTACTGAAATGCGGGGGAAACTAAAACGCAACCGTGCTAGATCTTAACCAACAACAACGCGCTCGATGGATTTATTTATAGGTTACATCGTTTTTTGCCGAGCAAGGATAACATGATGCTGATAAAAATTACTGGAGCAAGTGTCAAATTTATCGGAAGCAAGTATATTCAAGAGAGCTTTATAAATATGAGCTTACTGCTCTACATATCATAACTGAATAAAAATTAACACTTCATAACATTTCACTTCATTTATTTCGATCAGTCAACACCTTGAATCCAAAGTTAAAATTCAAAACGATCCTAAAACAAATCACAACTACTACTGAAAGCTCTGTACCTTAAAGCGACTCTAACTTTCCTAAGGTTTGCAGCAAAACACTGCTCGATAGCTCAACTCTTCGGCGGCCTTTTCTTAGCAGATATACGGAGCTAGCTATATGTTGCATATTCCAAACTCTGCAAAGGGAAATTGTTTAACAGAAAAAGAAAACCACACACTATGTCTGAAAAGCGACATAAAATAAATAAATTTGCAAATTACCAAAATAATTATAATAATGAGAAACAGTCCCACCTTCGGCTGCCATGTTTTTGTTTTTTCTCAAGACTGTTGATCTATGGTTTTTGACGTAATGCGCATGATCAGTACACAAATCCGCTGGCAAGACCCTTGCTGATTGCTTTGCAAGTTGTGAGAACATCGTTTGGACTTCATTTAAGAGAATGTATGAGAAGTAGCCCCCCCCCCGGACTGTAGTGATCAATATTATTACGACTGTAAAACTTTGTGTGGATTGATCCAGGATGGTTTATTCCCCAGCTGGAAGTACAGGTTTGTTTTTCTTCCTCAGCCACATCAGCTTTTCCATGTGGCATTCTAGTTTTTTTTTTTTAATGGAGAACTGATACCATCGTCTACAGTGCTAAGTTAAAATGGAAAAATAAGGCCCCCATCTCTATTAAGCCACCCCCCAAATGTGTTTGAAATAAATAATCCCCCTGGGGGGATTAATAGAGGATTTACCGTATATATATATAAAAAATGGAGCATATATAATATTCTATCCAAATGTTTTATCTCACTTTAGCTTTAGAAAGACCATAAACACAACTAATAAACACAACACATGGCTTGTTACATGATTGTTGAACACAGGTCAATAAACTGGAGACTCTTTCACTGCAATTTCTGTCTCACAATTTTTCTCTACATGCCATGGCAACAAAATTTATTACAGCTTGGAGCATTGTCCAAGGTTAGTTACCATGGCAACTCATATACTCTGTTTACAGCTGACTTAAGATAGCAGCTAACTGGGTTTGGTCAACTCTGTCTTAAGTCTTGGCAATAATACTATTTATTTTTTTTAAATTAATAATTATATTATTTTATTTGCCACATAATAATGGATAATTGGTGAGGAGACCTAACAGAAACTATAGGAGCTTACGAGAGGTTAGGCCTCCATGAACAACCGACTATAGCTGTTTTCATCAAGTGAAGCAAAAGATGGTGTGAAGTTAAAGGAGGATTTAAGATCAGTTTCCATATTTATTTATTAATTTAATCACTAATATTTTTTTTTAATGAGGAGTCGGATCTAGAGTTGATGACTTCCTTGTCAAATGAATAAAAAAAACTTGAGTCCTCGAAGAAAAACTGATAACATCTTACCCACCTCTGCAAACAGTAGAAGCTACTGTAAATATTATGATAAAAACAGATTGTTAGTACTAACCTTGATTCCTTTTTCTTCTTGGTCTTCTCCTTGCTGGACTCATGTTTTCATTGTCTGCCATTCCTTCATCCTCATCTCTGTCAATCATTTCAGCACTAGCTGACCTCCTGGTCTGTCGCACCCCAGAGGGAGGACGCTTATATTTTTTCTTGTCAGGCATGTCAAGAGTGCTTGATTCCATTTCATCATACAATGCATCTCCTACAAAAGGTAACATAGGCATCTTTCTTATTTGTGAGTTCTTGACATTGTAACCTTATCCCTAAAAGCCAATTTAGATAGTACGATTTTGGCTTACAACTATGGTGCCCGACTAGCATGCGTTACGACTTCATGATGGATCATGAAAAATCATACCATCTAAATGGGCCTTAAAGTTACCCTTCTTCCGATATCCACCCACAATTTCTCCAGACTGATCTCCATACATTTCTTTGAAGAATTAGGCCTGGTTCAGACGCCGTACTTTTCATGTGCCGAACCTAATTGAATAAGTTCCACTTTGGAGCGACACTGGCCCGACATCTGATTCACAAATCGAGCCTCCAGACTGACAGAAGTTCTCAGACATCGAACTTTTCTTTGAAGACCAAACTAAAACTGCCGTACCAAATTGATTCAGACGCCGCTCTTTTGCCCTACTTAATTCATCAGTTATGTTGGGCACATGAGTGGAGCGGCGTCTGAACCGGGCCTTAGTCGAGAGAATTTGATAAAAGATCAAAGTGAAAAATGGCTGTGAAAGCCTGAAACTGGTATCAAAGATGGCTTTCAAGAAATGGAACACAAATTTCTTTTGGAACGTTCTGTCCAGAAAAACAGGACTACCTTTTCAGAAATTCTGTTGCCCCTGGATATTCTCTGCAAGACTGACCTGAAAAGTCATGTTCCTTTTACTTTTCAGCTGGATTTTTCAGACACGTTTTAAAATGGTAAACAACCTGAGAGTCCCACTTGCAACTAGCTACCTTCCCACATGTACATGTACATGAACACTGAGACATATAAGTCTGTTTTAACACTTCCATTTTTTTCGGAACCCCCCTGGTGGATGAGCAGATTCCTACCACCTCACTTTTTGTCAGAACCCTTTGAAAAATACCTTTCCTACCCCTTCATTTTTTGTTGGTTCCTTTGAAAACGGATTCCTACTACTTGTCTGCCGAGGATACTCATTCTTAGTAGGGAGGGGGGGGGATCGGAATAAAAATGCAAAGTCCCACTCCCCCCTGCAAGGTCAGGCAACCGGAGATGTTCCTAGTCGTCAAATATCTACTCTTTCCTGCACAATTTTTGTTGCTGAAAAATACTAAAAATCGGAACCTTAGTTGTATACTTATTCACCATTTTCGAGTCTTGATCTCCTTCTTGTTCTTCTCGAGCGGTTTCTCCTGTCAACAGAAGATTGTTGAATGCCTTCCTGATCACCTGAGTTATTAGATGCACTACGAGGAACGCTGACTTTTTCTCCATCTACAATCTCTTGCAAAGGAATTCTTTCTGGTACGGCACTTGGAGACTCCACGCTCTCATTTGTGTGGTCCTCTGAAAATTCCCTTGACATTCGTTTCTTGCGTCGTCTTTGACGTTGAGCTGGGTCTCTACCTGTGGTAGTATTTTCGTGTTCTGCCATATTTCAAGCTGTTAAAATTTACAGCAACATACCAGATTTATGATATAAATGTAGTCATAGTGGCTAGATACGAGAAAAGATTAACTTTCGGCTGATCTGATCGCTCAAAACATTTATCGACAGCTGAATGAGCGTTTGTTTTGTCGCCTTTTTGAATGACCGCGCGCATTCCAAGATACCTGGGTTCAAGGCAGCGTGTTGAGCATAATCTTCACGAACTACCTCTGACAAAATTATACTAAGGGCTCGTAAAGAAAATTGAGCATAATCTTTCGAGGAATACCACTATCTGGTACAAACTACAGGCTCACTTTGAAAGCGCATATCAGTTGAACAAACAACCGCTGCAGAAGCTGTCTTCTTTGCCACGTGGAGGAATGTGAAAAATTTCCTCGCGGTTGAATGCATTGAGGCTTCATTTAGGGCCCAGAAACATCGCCCATCAAACATGAAGACGGTGCTGATGGTAGCAGAGAAGCCCTCTTTAGCGCAGTCAATCGCCAAGTTCCTCTCCAAGGGGCAGATGTCCACAAGGAAAGGCCTTAATGGTGTTTGTTCAGTACACGAGTACAATGGACAGTTTAACAAAGAACCGGCAAGATTTAAAATGACCTCTGTCTGCGGCCACGTAATGACCCTGGATTTTCATCACAAGTTCAACAACTGGGATGCTGTAAATCCCCAGGAACTGTTTACAGCTACCACGCTGAAGAAGGAAGCCAACGAAAAACTACAAATTCCGAGGTTTTTACAGCACGAGGGGAAAGGGGTAGATTACATCGTTTTGTGGTTGGATTGTGACAAAGAAGGGGAAAACATCTGTTTTGAGGTGCTTGATTGTGTCAAGCCAGTCATGAACAAACGATCAGGATCTAAAACTGTCTACCGTGCAAAGTTTTCTGCAATTACTGAAACTGATATTTGTAGTGCTATGCATCGCCTGAGTGAGCCCAACAGAAATGAAGCAAGGTCTGTAGATGCTAGGCAGGAGCTGGACCTGAGAATTGGTTGTGCTTTCACACGATTTCAGACTAAGTACTTCCAAGGCAAATATGGTGACCTGGATAGTGCGTTGATATCGTATGGCCCTTGCCAAACTCCTACTCTTGGTTTCTGTGTTGAGCGGCATGACCAGATACAGTCATTCAAGCCTGAAACTTACTGGGTTTTGAAGCCACAGGTGCGGCACCCAAGTGGTCAAACAATGCATCTTGAGTGGGATAGAGTAAGACTGTTTGACAAGGAGGTGGCCTCTATGTTTCAGAGAGCTGTCCAATCATCAAAATCTGCAACTGTGATTGGTGTTTCAAAAAAGGAAAAGGCAAAGCAGAGACCTATCGCACTAAACACTGTGGAAATGCTTCGTATGGCTTCTTCAGGACTTAACATGGGACCACAGCATTGCATGCAGATAGCAGAGAGGCTTTATACCCAGGGATACATCAGCTACCCAAGAACTGAAACCACCCATTATCCGGAGAATTTTGATCTCAAGGGAACTCTTAGACAGCAACAATCAAATTCTGTTTGGGGATCACTTGTACGTGAGCTTCTAGAGATGGGGATCAACAAGCCAAGAAAGGGGCATGACGCAGGGGACCATCCGCCCATAACCCCTATGAAACCAGCAAGTGAGGCGGAGTTGGGAGGGGATTCATGGAGGCTGTATGAGTTTATCACGAGAACCTTTATTGCCAGCATCAGCTATGACTGCAAATATTTACAAACAACTGTGAAATTTGCTGTTGATCTTGAAACTTTTTCATTCAGTGGGAAGACTGTGACCAGCCCTGGCTTCACTTCCGTCATGCATTGGCAAGCCATTTCCAGTGATGAGCGCATGCCACAGTGTCACAAAGATGACGTGTATGAAATTGTAGAAGTGAAGCTTGAGGAACGTCAGACATCTCCTCCCGATTACCTCACGGAGAGTGAGCTGATTTCATTGATGGAGAAACATGGGATTGGCACGGATGCAAGCATTCCTGTTCATATCAACAATGTTTGTGAGAGGAACTATGTGCGTGTATTGAGCGGTAGACGTCTTCAGCCCACCCCTTTGGGAATTGTACTGGTACATGGTTACCAGAAAATTGATTCTCAACTTGTTCTTCCAACAATGCGCTCAGCCGTTGAACAACAGCTGAACCTAATTGCGCAGGGTAAGGTAGACTTTGACTCTGTTTTGCAGCATGCTCTGAGAATCTTCACTAGAAAGTTTGTTTACTTTGTGCAAACTGTGACCAGCATGGATGAGCTGTTTGAAGTTTCCTTCACTCCTCTGAAAGATACAGGGAAACCTCTGTCCAGATGCGGCAAATGCAACCGGTACATGAAGTTAATCAATGCCAAGCCAACTCGTCTGCACTGCGCTCAGTGTGACGAGACTTACAGTCTTCCTCAAAATGGTAGCATCAAACTTTTTAAGGAACTTAGATGCCCCTTGGATGAGTTTGAGTTGGTGGTATGGTCCACTGGGGGTAAAGGAAAGAGTACACCAGTTTGTCCTTACTGTTACAATCATCCACCCTTTCCTGATATGAGGAAAGGCATGGGCTGTAATCAATGTACACACCCGACATGTGCCCATTCTGAGGCCAATCTTGGAATTGCCGACTGCACAGAATGTGACAGTGGAAGCCTTGTTCTTGATGCTACGTCCGCTCCCAAGTGGAAATTGGCCTGTAACAAGTGTAATCTTGTCATTCATGTTTTTGAAGACGCATTCCGTGTGAGTGCCACTGATCAAGAGTGTGACTGCGGAACAACTCTTCTGAATGTTGATTTCAATCGTTCCAAGTCACCTTTGGCTGGGGATAAAACTCAGCATCAAGGCTGTCTCTTCTGTGATCCAGTTCTCTCCCCACTGGTCAAGATGTCACATGCTGCTTCAAAGCACCCTATGTATCGAGGAGGGAGGGGTAGGGGTGGGCGTCGTGGCAGGGGTGGCAGAAGAGGCAAGGGTAGAGGACGGCCAAAGGACAAGATGTCTCAACTGGCCTCTTACTTTGTCTGACTTCTCTGTTTTGTCAAGAATTTCTTAACTTATTTTCCTGGTCTTTTTCTTTGGAATAGCATATACATCATACTATTTTTACCCTTGGTCTCAAAAGTCTCTTTATTTTGAACCCATTTTCTCCTGTGGAGAATCACAAGAGACAAAGAGTCACCAAGTCTGCACCTTGCTTTGAAGTGATGCTCCACTTGTGTTTTTCAAGTAAGGGCTTGCTGATATCAGTGGTAGTAGGTGTTGAATCAATGTATTGTTCATATCTTAGTTATAATGTGATGTGATCATGTATATCCAGTGTTTAGCACATTTATAGCCCCAAAATACCTTTTTTGTTGCTTGTATGTGTTTTTACTGTGAAATTCACAAAATGTGAACACCAGAAATATTTATGTATCATTTTGTTGGAAGTAATATATCAAGCTTCAGATGTAGTGTTTCATCACGAAACACCAAGAGGAGAGTTGAAAATACGACGTGCAGCAGTGTATTTTTGAAGAACTTCGAGGTATTTTATCTGGTGATGAAACAATGTGTTGCATGCTTGATATTACTTCTCAAACAAAACAACTTTAGAAGGAGAAATTAAGGATGCAAAACTGAGCAGTTTTTTGTCTGATTTCCAAACACTCATTAAACATTAATTTCCTTTGTATTGTCTTCATGAATTATTAATGAAATTGAAAAGGAAAAAGGTATTAAAAAAGGTAAGGGAAAACTGAACCCCAAAAAGCATCGTTATTTAGCTTGTGGTTTTGAGGTTTGCTTACATGTACTGATCTTTACTGTGATAAGTCAATACCCAATCAACATTCCTGTAATATTTGAGGTGTTCACAGCTTTCTGAGTTTGACAGTAGGCATGCATGTAACAAGCTGTACTCAGAAGTCAATGACACAAGCTCTTAACATCATATTATACCAAGTGCAATCACAGCCTATTCTCCCATCGGTTATCTAAGCAAGTTCTGTTTGGTTTTGCATGATTGAAAATCTGGATTATCAAAAGTTTGAATGCTACTTAAAAGAATACTATTTTTACCTGTCATAATCTGTTTTTTTTTTGGTTCTTTACATGAGGGTTCTGGGAAATATTGCAGGCTCCTTACATAATTTAGGAAGCTTGAGAAAAATGACCGCAACAATGATGAGAATGTCTTAAAAATTTCAAATTCGTGTTATGTAAGTCATTTGAAAGTGGTGTTTTCACTTCCATAGCCATGGTAATTATTGCTAAACTTCCTTGTTTAGAGCTATATATACATTGTCACAGTTTCCTATAAATCATATTCATTGTTTTTTAGTGTTTTTGTTCAGTTAAAGATTTTTTATGGTGTAGTTCACTAAATACCTATAGTAATATTATTAAAATTTTATATTCTAAATTTACTATTTAATTATTTAATTTATTGGATTTTTTTCCTGTTAGGAACTGGTATTACATATGGTACTAGTTTTCGATTTCCTTTAACATCTGAATCTACATTAGATTTTGATGTTGGTAGTCAACAAAAATGTCTTATTATGCTACAATGTTTTTCCTTCCAGTTGTTTTTCCTCACAGCTGTTTTTAAGGGTCACCACGCAACGCTCCTTCCCACGAAGGAGACTAATAATGTACATCAATCGACCCCTTTTCACAAATATATAGCCATCTTCACATTTTGAAGTACCGTAAAATTCCGAAAATAAGCCCCTCCATGTAAAAGCCCCTCCAAATATAAGCCCCCCAAAATCATGAGGCAAAAAACCCTCCGTTAAATTGCCCCTCCAAATATAAGCCCCCCGGAGAGCTTGTACTTGGAATTTGCCCTCAAATACAAAGTAAAACAAAGCAAAAATGGTGAATTTCCTTCCCACTACAAACTAGCTCAATCAGTTTTTAAAATGCAGATTTCCCCCCATAGATAAGCCCGTCCGAATATAAACCCCTCCAAAAATAAGCCCCTCAAAAAGGGCCTTTGAAAAATATAAGCCCCGGGGCTTATTTTCGGAATTTTACGGTATCTGCTAGTGTAAAGCATTTAACCCTCTAAGCTCCAATATCCCCATACAAATTCTCCTAACAGATCTCCAAACATTTTCTTTAAAGAATTTGTAAAGAGAATTTGTTTAAGATCAAAACATTTTCCTTTAGGTGATCACGTTATTTATTCACATGACCTGTTCTCTTGACCATGTCTTGACAGTGTTAAAAGAAAATTGATGTTGACCACCTTTGGGACTTTTAACGATAATGAGAGTATGTTAATGAGAGTAGCAAAAAGAAGTAACAATTCATAAGAAAATAGTTAGCATTGCTATAAAAATGGTAAAACATTGTTAAAGCTGCTGTAGGAAAAATCTCAAGATTTACATGTATATCCACAAAGTAATGAGAAGAATATTCTGAGAGACTGTACTGTTATGTCTAAATTTATTGATTAAATGAGTTATTTACCGAAGGTTTCACATCCATTGTAGTAGTTGCTTTTGTCATATATGATGACCAGGCCTAAATTTTAGTGAGGTCCTCTTAAGGGGAGGGGACGTATGTCCTTAGTCCAAATTTCAAATATGTTTGTTTCATGTTGTGAGGAGTATGCCATGTCCCTGTCGGTATTACCCTGCTAACAGAGTCACTTCAATCTTTCCTAGATAAGTCGGAAAGAGGAAGGCGCCTGCCTTTTTCCTGAATTATCTAGAAAAGATCAAAGTGACTCTGCTGGCAGGGTATGTCGGTATTTGACCAATGTTTATATCGTTTGTTGCCATTCCATCTACTGTTGGTTCCATCTAAGTGTGGACACGACAAGAAAACATGTTCTAATAGAGTGCCAGACATGACATGTTTTGCCACCAAACATTTGAAGTTTGACAGCTGTTAAAGCAAACAGCTGTCACACCAATTAACGGTAATCTGTTTATAGGTTTTGATTAGCACGTTCTGCTCATATTTTTTTTCAACTTTCAGGCTTATTTCACGCTCAGTAACAGCACACTTGTCTCCAGAAATGATTGTTAACGTCTAAAAATTCTTGCAAAGAATATTTTGTTGTACGAAAACAAATCAAGTTGACAACAGCCATGTATTCCAAACTTCAAATGTTTGGCTGCAAAACATGTCATGTTTGCACCCAATGGTAGTCTTATGTTGCTGGTTCAAGACCATGTTACTTGTCAAAATGTTACCCTAACAGGGCCTTTTAGTGGCTCTGCGGCTCTCTCTTAAACCTTGCCACACTACAGTATGGCACTGCCTTAAGGTGAAGCAGCCATTTGCATGCTTATTGATCTGAACTAAGTCAGAAAGCGTACTCTGATCAGTGGCGGATTTCAGATCCCAAAGAAAGTGGGGGCCCCATTCATCAAGTCCCTGAAATAAGAGATAAGACTGGCCTCAAAAATATTTTTTCTTGGCCCCACAGGCCTCCCCTTTGCCTAAAAATATGGTGGTCCCCCCTGCCCCCGCAAGGCCACTCGGGCCCTTCCCCTTAATCCACCACAGCTGGCGAGTGACAAAACCTACACACCCCATCATGGCACTGATGGCAGTGAGCAAATCCCCACCTCAGTTCATGAACACTAGAGTTACTTGTGTTCCAATGGATGAATCAAAAGGAAAAAAATGGGGACAGCCCATCCTTTTGGGATTGATTTACACCAAAAAGCAAACTTGGTGCAAAAAAAGTGCAAACTAAGGTTAAATAAAGGGCAAAGATGGGCCCATCTTAGTTTGCATTCAGCCAGCGAGTAAATTTGTGTAAATTACCCTCTCCCCCATAATAATTCTTCTTTCTACTCTGGTCTCCCTCTGCTTTCAACATCAAAGACGGTGACTAAACAAGAAAATAGTGTTCTTGATCCTCCCAAAGAGTATGCCTTCACTGCAGGCTACTTTAATTTTCTTGTTGTAGTTTTCTCCCCTGGACAAGTCCTTCTTGCCAATAGAGAGGAGAAGTTGTTAAGTCATATTGCCATGGTGGCAAAATTTATCTCAAGAATCTGTTACCATAACAATGTGATGTCACACTTCTCTTCTTGATTACAGTGTTGTTATTGTTAATCATATATGAAATAAATCATATATGAACTACTGAAATGAAATGAAAATGAAGAAATGATCGTCGCAGTGAATGCAATTTATGCAATTGTAAAGAAGCCTGAAAAAAATTCAGGACTTCAACAGGGTTTGAACCTGTGACCTCACGATTACCAGGGTGATGCTCTACCAACTGAGCTATGAAGCCACTGACGTTGGGAGCAGGTCAATTCATGGGTTCATATGTTCCCGTGAAAGAAATGAGTGTTGTTATTGGAAGGTGGTGGATTCTACAAAACAACAATAAAATAGTCTATTGACTGTATCTGTATACCACCTGGTTTGCACGTGACATCACGGCAGCCATGTTGGTGGTCAGGAACAAAAGTATTTCTCCCCTCTGGAAGCTTAGCTCCATTTTCAGGTAAACTAAATGTTCTATTGTGTTGACCCCCAACATGCATGGCTGCCTCAGGGTCATGTGGTTGCAAACCAAGAATAAAATAGTTTGATATTTTACTTGATAGGGACGGAAATTGGAACCCGAAAGAAGGTTGTCTAGAGACAGCTGACATTTCTCCTCTCGGCTCGCTTTGCTACCCGATTTATTTATTTATTTATTTTTTGCCGTTTCACTACGTTTTTCCAATGTTTTCCCACAGCGCCTAGTTCCAGGCTAGAAAGGTGGTAGACCTGTGGTACTACCACGCGTTCCACTAGACACGCGGTTACCCAGCCACGCGCGTTATTTCAGCGTATGCAGGCCGTATGCTTTGCATTTTTATCAAACCTCGAATTTTCCATAGCAATTAGTTTTAAATAATGTCCAGTGAGTTGGCAAACTTAGTTGATGACGACGCTAAGCTAAGCTCTCACGGTGACAAACGCAAAGAGAGCAAAATCTCCAATGGTAAAATACAGGTGAGTTGACTTTGGTCACCCAAAGCCATTTTGAAGGGACCGATTTTCACCTGTGTGATGTCGTGAAGTTAGGCACATTTTCTTGGATGTTATCCTACATTTTCTACTATTTCCTCAGCATTGTGACATTTCAGAAACGTTTTTGTGCTATCCGCTATTACGTACATTCTTTGAGCCTGACTTGGCTTGATTTTCAACATATCTGTGGCAATTGCCAATGAAGGGGAAGGAGTTTCTGGAATTTGAATATAATTCGGGCACCTGTAGAGTTTTCAAGTGACAATTGTCAAACTTTTCATGTGCTTTACACTACGACTAAAATGTTGATGCCCGCTTATTCTATGACCAATTTTTCGGTAGTTACCAAAATCTTGAGTCCATAATTTAAAAAAAACTAAGGAATTAGCTCTGGCCTTCTGTTTTAGTTCCACAAATTTTATTTATAATTATATGCACTGCAAATGGAAACAGAGTATTTTAACCAATGAAGCAAAACTGAAAACAATAAATAATAATTCTACCTCTTAATTAAGCTAACTAGTGTGACTGCATGCATGACTTTATGTTCTTTGCATTACGTTGAATATTAGGTTTAGTATGCCACAGCAGTCTAATGAATCAAGCCTTTAATCTATGATGTATTCAAACTCGTACATTTTTGGCTTCTGTAAACACATAGACAATGAAACGTCTGATATTATCTCCAGAGTGTACAGATCGTAAATGCATATGTTGTTTTTATGTGGATAGTGGTGAATGCACAAATTGTAAAGTCCTAGTCTTAAATAGACACAGCCTTAGACAGCCCCAATTTTGGGAAAAATGTATATATTAAACTAGAAATGACAGAAGGTCAGTGAGTACTGGTGATATAGATGGGAGGGATCCGAGGTTAAGTTTATATGGGTAGTTTAGGAATGGAAAGAAAATGCTGTTGAAAAAGACTACTTGAAAACCCACATGATAAAGTCATGTAAAGTAAGATACCCTGTGCAATTCAATCAGTCAAATGCTTTTCCCTATATCCCATTAAGGCACAGCCATCATCATCATCATCATCATCATTGCTTTTTCCGAACCCAGTGATGCACGAGGCACAAACAAAAGCTTCTCCACAACAGTTGAATTTCTTGCATGCATTAATTTTTTGTAACCAACATGGTTTCGTGATGACAGGTCATTTGCCCCTCCTAAAACATAAGCATCAGATTCTCTTTTCAAAAAATCCTGCCTGTGGCACTGAGGCTTTGGTAGCTCATACTGTAATTTCTGTAGATTTAAATATAGTAGGCAGATGGATGCCATGCAGCAAAACAAAATTCAATGTAAAAATCATTTTATTAATTGTATTCCCAGGTAAAAGATTTACAAAACTGCAAAGAAAAACAACCCCAACTGGAGCAAAGAGAAAAAGAAACTGAAGCACCTTTCACAATGAATATAGAATTGAATTTTTTCTGGTTGATTTTGGTTGGCCTTTCATTTGGTACAAGACTGTGGCAACTGACTTCTCCTAAACATGTTATGTAAGTATAATATTATAGTTAATGGTACATGTTTATTATTTTATTTAAATACTGGGGATCCCCACTACTTTACTGTTATTTTAAAGCCTGGTCATCACCTAGGGAGACAAATATGAGCATATAAGCATAGCATGGTCCTCAATAGCGACACAAGTGTAAGCATAAGCATAGCATGGTCCTCACTAGCCATGCAAGCATGAGCATAAGCGAAAGAAGCTTCTGCATCAGTGAGGATAGCCTTGACATATAAGCATAGGCATAAACACAAGAATATGAAAACCATGTGTTCTTCTTATGCTTATGTTTAGGCCATCCTCTCTGGCATATAAACTTTTTGTGGGTGAAAAGAGGAGCCCGCAATCCTAATCTCCAGGTTGTTATTACGCATGCGTCACATGTATGTAGCCAACATTGGTTGGGACTTCCACTAAGAATGAATGGAATGCACATAACGCAATGTGATCACGTGCGTTTGGACCTTTTATCACTTGTAATCTGATCATGCATGTTTTGACCATCTGTCACGTGAAACTTACGCAAAGCAAAGCGTTGGAGCCGTTCGATTGTTGTCACCCACACTCCGTAACCTTTGGTTATACTTACTAGGTATGTTCATAAATTTTATGTTCATGCTTGTGTTATGCTTATACCTATGTTTGCAATGCTAGTGAGGACCAGGATTTAGACAAGTAAAAAGTCAAATCCCAAGCTCCTTGATTCAATTTTCCATTCAAACCACTTCCTGGATTTGTTTCTTGGTACCCCGTTTTATGGACACCCACTTAACCCTTTAAGTCCCAATATCAACATACAAATTCTCCAAACTGATCTCCATACATTTCCTTTAAGAATTAGTTGAGAGAATTTAATGTAAGATCAAGGCCTTTTCTCTTGGGTGATCATTTTATTAAAACTCATGACTTATCTCTTGACAGTGTGTAGATATTGTTAGGAGAAAATTGATCTTGGTCACTATTGGGACTTAAAAGGGTTTATACCGACACCTCATCATTATGGACAGTTTGCTTTGTCCCTAAGGAAAGAAAGCCCTCGCATTTTCTCTAAATTCAACCCTCTTAACACTACACCCTGTTAATGCGGACACTTTCCTTGGCCCCCTTCAACGTCCGTACAGTGGAAACTCAATATAACGAGGGGCCAAGGGACTGACGTATGTTTGCTATAAAGGGGTTTTGTTCTATCGAGGTTCTTTTCAATATATTTTACTATTACTAGGGCTGGGCATATTATCGTTCATTATACAGAGGACTTTGTTATGTAGCAGCTTGTTAAATCAAGGTTGTACTGTATTAACAGGGTTTAACTGTATTTCAACTCCTTCAATACTTCCTGTTGCAAATGGCCTGATTTGTCCCTTGCCTCTTCAGTTTTTAACCAAGCTATGTTTCATTGATTTGTGACTGTTTGAGTAGAGTACCTAGATAGGGCTAGTATGATATTGAGGATAAATTATATATTTTTTTAATGGTTTGACATTCAGATTAAGGTTACTGGATACCTTCGGGGGCGTCCATTGTGTGAGTAGTGTAGCACGTTCCAGTTAAACTCAAGGCTGCAGATTCCTAAAACCCTATATCAAATCAAAGCTTTTTAAACTGGCTTTCTTAACAATTAAAACCAACAGCTTTTTGAAAAAAATATTATGCACTGTTGATTTTTTTAGGATTTTGAACATCAGATTTAGCTTTCAAAAGCTAAAACCCAGATTTGTTTTTTGGGAAGTCAAAGCCCCCCCCCCCCCCCCCCAAAAAAAAAAGTTAACTCCCTTGGAGTTATTGCTTCTAAAGTGTCCCCTCTGTGCAGAAAATATAAGATGAGAAAAAGGCAATTGAAAAATCCCTCGCTTTGTAAACAAACTCTGCCCTAAAATACTTCTCAGGAAACCTGGCCAATGAGGGCTTGGATAAGATAACATCTGCTCAATTTTAGCACACTGTTCTCATATAGCTTTTGAGCCACGTTTGTGTTGTGATCAATAGTGAGATCAACATTTTTTTATGGCTGTGGAAATGAAAGACCACAAATCCAGCCAGTGCTTGGTCGAAAACCAAACAAGCCGATAGAAAGAAAAGAAGAAAAGACAGTTTGGTCACTCCCACGGAGCTGACTATCAACATAGAGAGAGGATAATATAATTTTAACAGCGATGCAACTCATTGGGTAACCAGTAGCTTTCTTTTGTTTCAGGTCTAGTTTAGCTTACATTTTTCTCTTACTACATTGGCAAATAACCAAGACCTAATTTATGATTTTTATGTACTGTCACCACTAGGCTGACTCTGACTACTCTGACTAAGTAAACGTGAAATGCGCCACTCAGCCTAGATGAGTGGTTCATAACGTCCTTTTTCATTTGTTGTTATTTCTCAAATGCCTATCAAATTTCTGGAAAAAAAAAGTTATTTCTATCCATTGCTTCTTAAATATTCTTCTGTCATGCTGTTGTTCATTGAGATTCCCTCTTGCCCTTCACTTTGTGCCCTTTTTTGAAAAAAAAAATACTGCATCGAGTCGTTAACTAAAAGAAAAACATTCCCGATTATTCATCCACCTCTCATGGAAACTCCCGCGAAAAACACCATAGGGCTGTCAATCAAAAGAGTAACTTTTACTTCTGGTTCAAACAAAAAAACCGTAATTTCTCCACCAATATTTACTCTTCTCCATTTTTTCTTTCTTTCTCATAAAGATCACACTAAAACCCTTACTATGAGCCAACAATAAAAATTTTAACAAAATTTTTCATCTGAAGGTGTCTGCTAACTTTACGTAAGTAAGTAACCCTATTTAAGCAGCTGTCTACAAAATTGATTTCTCTTTTTGATCTTAACTTCACAGATTTGATGAAGTACATTTTGGCCAGTTCACAAATTTTTTCATGAGGAATCAGTTCTTCTTTGATGTTAATCCACCACTAGGAAAGCTCATATTTGCATTAACAGGTAAAGACTTGGTTGTCACTAACTGCTGAAAGAAGGAATGAAGTATAGATTGAAGTAAGAAAATACTCTTGTACTGTGAACTGTAATGTTCAAGTTCTGTGGACTGGGCATTTATCGCAGCTGCTAGGAGCATGACCCTCAGCTTCTTTTGTAGGAACAAAAGGAGAAGAATTAGAATCAAAAGAAATTCCTTGCTGTTCAATTGGATCAATCAAGGTTTTTGGGAAACTGCCCACCTACCCCTCCCCTAAGCTATCATTTTGCCCTAAGTAAGAAGTAAGTGTTAATGTTAGCTTAGGGCAGGGGTAGGTGGGTCGTTTCCCAGAAATCTAAACTGTTTCCCACCTACTGGTAATTGTATATGTTACAGGTCAAATTTGATTTCAAGTTAATTAAACCTAGGACGATTTTCAATTGCCTTTGACCCATAGCCCTAGGAGACAAAGGAGATAGAGAATCAACCTAGTAGGTTAAATGATTTTAACCTGAAATCAAATTTGACCTGTAACATACAGGTCAAATTTGGTAGACTGTTGGTAAACTGTCCGCTGACAGTTTACCGACAGTCAGCTGGCATAATTTTAGGGAGCTCTTCTTCACTTTTACCATATCATTGGTCCCTCTTTATTGGAATGCTGCCCTTAGCCTTGACATGTAAAGTAAATCCCTGATCCTACAAGCAGGTTTTAGCCAGAAAATTTTAATAATAATTATTAAAATTTTCTGGCCTTGTAAGTTATTTATAAGAATCTGAGGCCTCAACTCTCAAAAGATCAGTTCTAAAACCAAGCTAGTGAAAAATAAATGTGAAAATGAAATAATCAGCATGTCACGAGCGTGAGACAAAGAAAAAATCTGAGTCCCCGACAGGATTTGAACCTATGACCTCCCAAACACCGGGCAGGTGCTCTATCCACTTGAGCTGCGGAGAACTCATGGAGTGCGAGGCCATAATACTAGGTTCATATTTGAGATGTGTCCTGCATACTGCTCGGATTAGCAATGTTAAAAAAAAAATTCTTTTGTTATGGCACAATAGGCCACTGGCACTGAGAGGTCACGTGACCAATTCTTGCTTTAAACAATGAGTTGGAATCTTGCTGATGCCAAAAATTGACGGAGCACATAAAAATTGTCTTACACTCCAAATTTGAGAGCAAACGCATTACTTTTTGCTTGTATCTTATTAAACATTAGATAGTTATGCTCAGATGTGCTGAAAATGTTACCACATTATCTTTTCAACAATTTCCCTAAAGTTTAAGTAAAAAATTCTGTTCAGAAAGAGGTAATGTGTAGTTCCTGAAAATGTCCACACTCCCCCCACAGAATGGATTGGAAATTCCTGGGGGTTGGGGGGTTCTCAAAGGCCCAAAAATGTGAGTAAATGTATGAAGCTTGACTGGAATTTCCAGAGAGGTGGGGGGTCTAAGGAAAAATCCCTTCCGTAGGGGAGGTATGGATAATTTTTGGAACCACACAATCCATAGTGTTTTAAATATCACATTCTGGTCACGTGACCAGCTACGAACATACTCATTATTTTTAAGAAAATGGTGCGGATTTGAAAAACTAAATCACTATTATTTTGTTTAAGATATGACCCACTAATCGTTTTTTGAAGGCAAAATCATATAACTTTCAATTTCATAAAAATGATGTCACATGACCTCTTAGTGCATGACCTACACACTTCCCTTACATAGGAATGTTTTCTCTTTCACACAGAGAATGCATAAACCTACAAAAAGGCAGTTCATGAAATATAATGTATTTAAACTCCACTTTTAAAAGGTTTTTCTTTTGAGTTGCAAATAATAGCCAAGAAAAATTTACAATTTTACATGTTCCTCACGTAGGATTTCTGTGTTACTTAGACTCAGACAAGATATTGTTATGAGGAAGTTGGTTAGAAAAAGGGGGAGTAATATACAGTCATGCTGCTTTGCAAAGATTTTGAAAGTTTGATGTTTAAACCAATCAGAAGTGTGGTAGAGACAATAGTAAAGTTAGCACCTCTTTGTATTCTGGCATGTTCTTTGCACTTGGTTCTTTCCTTCTTATCTGTATTTTGGGCATTTTTGTTTGATCATCCAACTTTTTTAGCACTGAATTTCCAATTTGTTCTGTAACTTTTGATCACAATCAAAAATGGGAAAACCCTGACACAATATCTTTTTTTTAGGGCTTTGACTTCCAAAAGACTAGAACAAATCAAATTAGTGAAAAAAAACATTGCTGTGAGTTTTAGCTTTCGAAAGCTAATTCTGGCATTCACAATAAAGAATCCTGATAGAATCGACGTTGTATAAAAAACTGTTGGTTTATGAAGAAGGCTAGTTTAAGAAGCTTAATTTGATATAGGGTTTAACGTATCTGCAGTATGATAGACCACTTTTGATATATTAAAATTCATACGTGGCTCTGCATCTTCAGGAAATGAAACAAAAATGTATTATCCATCTCTGAGCCTCAGGATGATTTCTCGTCTTTTATTCCCCCAAGCCTTGCAGTCATGAATGAATTTTAATATATCAAAATTGGTCTATTGGAACACACTACATTACTTGCACATGAGACACCCCCAAAGGCTTCCAGTAACCTTAAACAGATACCAGTAATGTCTGCCTCCCCATGAAGTTAATAATTTTTATAATCATTGTTAAATAAATGTTTGATAAGTAATGAGTTCCATTTTTGCACAGCATATTTTACTGGATATGATGGGCAGTTTACATTTGCTGATATCGGTCAAGGTATTGTATAATCAACAGTGAATTTTTCCAGTTTTTGTTTTTATAACCTTAACATTAATTACCTGAAACTCTTTCTGTCATGCAATTTGACTGAACTTTTAATTATCATCACAGAGCTTGGTGACTATGAATTCCATGTGTGGTATTTACGGTTTGTCTCCGCCCTCCTTGGTAGTCTTGTTGTACCAATGGTATACGAGGTGGGTGGAAAAATGTTGTAGAATTATGTTTTGGTTCAATATCAATACTCTGCCAGAGCTACAGAGAGTTTTTGTTAAACACCTAGGCCTCTGGAAATTCTACTTTAACTTCAGTATAAAAAATTTTTGGTCTTTAAGACCCCCTCATTTCAACCAAAAGCCATCATTTCACCTCAAAAATGTTTATCAACTCTCTAGCTTTTGAATACAAGCAATCTTTTATGCAACTTCAAGGCTTTGCTCTAAGGAAAATTGAAGAGAGCCCAGTGCCCTGAACCTGTGAAAGTTAGGGTGCTCTGCATAGGATTTCTATGAAAAAACTAAGATTTCCTTCTCATGGAAGAGCAAAGATAAGGTGCCACAGGGACACGGGACGTTTATTACAGTGCTTGAAGACCATGCCGTATGATAATTTGATATATTAAGTCTTCATATTTTTTGTTATCAATGAAGAATATTGCCCTCTTTTTATCCCTCTTTACTTTGATTGTTTCCAATCTGATGCAGATAATTAAAGAGCTTGGATGTTCTCATTGGGCTGCTGCCCTTGGCGCCTTCTTAGCAACATTTGGTAAGAACTCAGGTTAAATAATCCATTGCCACAAATGATCTCTTTCACTTAGCAACAGTAAGCATCCAAGGATTTTGGGCTCCCCACTCTAGCACAAAACTAACCTTACTTTTTTCCAAGAGCCACATGGCTCCTTAATAATAGATTATCTTAAAGTGGTAGCTCTTTCCAAAAAGTTAGTTGCCAGAGACTTTTTAAAGACAAATTAAAAATGGTTTTAGGCTTTTATTTTAATAGCCGGACCTTTCAGTGCAGATAGTGCATACAATAATCATTTATTGTTTCTCAAAATATATTTGTTAGCAACGCAAGTTGAGATTTCAAAAAATCCTTGTGAAAGGTAACTGCTTCAAAAGAAAGATGCGTGGAGAATATGCAATTTTCAGAAACAAACTGCCATGCTATTCACCTGTTAAAAAATTCACAGTGTCTTCACGCAAGATGTGGTGAAGAATTCAGTCACCAACTTGGCAACTATTTTTAATTATTTGGTCACTCACACAGAAAGTTTAGACACATTTGGTAACTGTACACTAACTTGAATGCATGTCTTTTTTAACAGCATTTTTATTCTTGTAATGCTACAATATTATTAAATTTCTCTGCAGATAACATGCTTGTGGTGCATAGCAGACTTATTATGTTGGATGGTCCTCTAGTGTTTTTTTGTACTGCATCATTTCTTTGTTACCTTAAGTTCCACAAAGAATTCAGTAGGTGAGAATGTGAATTGTACACATTTTAAACTTATAAATGTTATAAAGATTTACTGCTGTTTAGTAGCTGGTAATTGGGTATTTTGGTCTGCAACTGTTCGTAGTGAAAAAAAATGTTTTAAGACTGTGGTTGGTAAATGACCAACAAACAACACCTCAAGATAAAGTCAGTTTACTGAGAATTTTTAAGGACAAAAGAGGTGGGTAACCCTCAGAAGCTTCAAAAGACTCATTGTTTGGCATTTTTCTATGCTTTTACTTCATCAGTGGTTTAATATACTACTACTGTCTGGTAGTTATAGCATTCAGGTTTGCTAAAGCTACAGTCTCAGTCAAAATAGTTGGGACACTTTGGGGTCTCCTTGTCCCCTCAATGTTGGTGTACAAGATTTGGTCACCAAACCGCGATAAACAACTTTGAGAGGGACGAGGGGGAAACGAGAAGGGAAAAAACAGCGTTTGGTTAAAGTGTCCCAACTATTTTTGTCTGAGACTGTGTCAGGGAGGAATTTGAAGGCGTGTTGACAGATACAGAGGTTAATCTGTAGGTCGGTCACAAGCGACGGGCTTTTGGTTTGTTTATCCATTGTGTTTCGCGAACGTTTCTATAGCAGTGAACTAAGTTATTTGGGCATAACAACATAAAAGTAGAGTATTGTAAAAATAAAAGGAACTGAGTGTGCACTAAACCATACACAAATAGCTTTCTAGTGGCCGATTGATAGCGTGACAATATAGCACGTGCATACTATCTACGTAAGATTCAGGGTTTTCATATACAGAGAGGCGCTCGAATGTGCCACATTTCTAAAAAAAATGTGTGGAGAATAATAGAGAAGGCCTCTTTGCCAAGAAAGAGTGTAGGAACAAGGCTCAAAGGGACGCATTTCTAACTTAAGGGCAAGAGGCGAAAGACAGCTGAAAGAGCGATTAAGCGATTTCGAGAGAAAGGGGGAAACTTTCCCTGAGTTTGGAGGAAAATGCAACAAGCCAGGATTATTCCCAAGACCTATCAGCGAGAACAGTATCCCGCTTTCTAAATTTCTAAGGATACTATTGACTACAAGCGCGTAAAAAGGGTGTCCAACAATAGTGTAATAACTGTTTGGTCCGACGCCAAAAAGTTTCTTAATGATATTCCAGGCTACTGCTGTGAAATCGACAACTTTTTATAAGTTGTTTACAACATATGTTAATTTGGCCTTGCGCCAAATGGTGACATCGGTTCTCATTCTTTACCCCAAATATACACCTTCCTGAATAACTCTAAAACAAACTACTGTGCCATAAATGTGGAACTTGAGGTACAAAACATGAATCATATAAAACGAGGACACTACCTATCCTTGAAACCTCCAAAAAAGCGTTCTACTCGACGTGTACACGGGTCACCTACATTAATTCAATTAAGATATTTATAAGTTTCTTTCAGCGAACAATCGTGTCACCATGATCAAAGTTTTAATAACTTGTCTTACATGTATCAAGGCGATATAAACCTTGGCTATTTCAATTAAGTATGAAAGTACCTTATCCTTTTCTTTCTTAATCCATTATATATAACAGAGAGCTCTTAGAAAACGCCCTGGATAGTATGGTGACCCGTTATGGTGACCCGTCCAATCGTGTCTCCACCGGTACAAGATATTCGCGGCAAGATACACAGCCTGCGAAATAATGCGCGCAGTTTTGACTCATCCCTTGTTCACCCTTTAACCCTAATACGTAGAAAGCTTTTTTAATACCGTGGAATGTTGTAATTAAAGAAACAAAGACTTCTTTCCTCTATTAATTGTCTTCTCTCTTTCTATCCTTGAAATCTTTAATGTTTTTCCCGAAAAAATGGCTCCGAAAGGTGCATATACCTGCCTAGCGATTTCCCGCCACTAGAGCCAACGAGGAGTCACATAACTAAAATTCCTCAAAAACACAGTCTCAGTCAAAATAGTTGGGACACTTTGGGGTCTCCTTGTCCCCTCAATGTTGGTGTACAAGATTTGGTCACCAAACCGCGATAAACAACTTTGAGAGGGACGAGGGGGAAACGAGAAGGGAAAAAACAGCGTTTGGTTAAAGTGTCCCAACTATTTTTGTCTGAGACTGTAACTCAGTTGTTCCTTAAAGAGCATTCTAAGATCGTGGGGTTTGCAGGCAAGCATTTCCTCCTCTTCCCTCCCCATTCCCCTTTGCTCTCGCTACATGTACAACTTACATGCAATAACTTGATCAGTTTTTGCTGTTGTTCCAACTGTCTCAACGAACTTGCATGGAAATGCTTCCTAGGCAGGCTAAAAGAAACACTACTTGATGGTGTAATTCTTTTTAAATTACTTTTCTTGTAGACCCTTTACATATAAATGGTGGATATGGCTGGTTCTTACAGGTATTGCTGTAATGGGTGCCTACAGGTGAGCTTGATTGTCTACCAAGGTATAATGTAAAAATTATCCTGCATAAATGTGCCACAGTGGCTTCAAGACTGACCCCAGTTGTGAACCCTTTGAACTGTTCGCAAACTTACATTTTGAATGAAGGTACGACCGTCACAGTTGCAATTGCAATTTCGGTAATGTTGCCAATTAACTGGAAAAACTTTCAGGCCTTTTGAGCCCATGGCCTCTGCATTAGCATTGCAGGGCTCTACCAACCTATCTCTGAGCTAAATATATTTGATGGAGGAAAATTTCAGTGTAGTCAACACAAAGAAACAGCTTTAGGCCATTTACATGAGTATGTGTTACTTTGATTTTTGAAGAGAAAATAAAATCCATTTGAATGGCATTTATGAGAGCTTCCAGAAAAAAACATGTGATGATTTATTAATGAACAAAGAACTGGGAGGAGAGGAAGAATTCTGGCTAATCAAAAAGTCTGGTTGATTGAGGTTTGGATATTCAACATTGGACTGTCACCCCTTCTCCCCTGCAAAAAAAATATACACACACCAGTCATATCAGTCTAGCTAGTCTATAATTTTTACTGGTGTCAACTCTCTGTTTTCAGCACTAAATACACAGGGATATTTACTTTTCTAACTGTTGGATTTTTAACTGGCCGAGACTTGTGGAAACTTATTGGGGACCAGTCACTTCCAGGTGTAAGTACAAGTACAAATACCACTGAATCATAGTCAACAGTTACCGGCACCATACAAACGACTTCTTGATGGAATCAAGCAAAAGTAACTACGAGAGAACGACTGGACAAATGACAATTTGACTAACAGTAAATGACTTTAACTGTGACAATAGATGGATCGAAAGGCACCAATGACATTATGAGTCTACATAGCCAATAACATCACGACTTAACTGACAGATGCCCAATAATATAGTGATGTAATTGACCAATCAGGTCAATAACCAGAGTTTAATACCATCAACATTCAGGACTACATTCACCCGGAAGATCATGCTTAACCTACTAAAATGACTCTTTGGTTCAAACCTGTCACACAACAAAAAGCGTTATCCATAGTACTCTTCAACAAATGGGCGCGTTGTCTCATATTTATAAGGGGAATTTCCAATACAATTCTCATTTTTTGCATCCATCTGTACATTAATTTATCAGTGGTTTATACTAGGGATAACAGTCAAATTTGCTAAAGTTAATTTAGTTGTTCCAAAAAGAGCTTTGTAGGTAATGAACCAAACAGGCCTAGGAATATATATCATTGCAGTAATCAAGTTTTGGTTTTTTTTTGGAGATAGTTCAAACTTACACTTTTTTGACTATTACAAAGTCATAGTCGTGTTGTGATCTTTTCCTAGAAGGCAACTTCAATACCTTGTAATAAGCCAGAAATTGGTTTAAAAATGATACATCTATAGGTTACCCTAGAAAACAAACAAAGTATCTCAACACAGCCAAAAGGAGATCATGTAGCGGGCTTGGACTATGGTAAATAGTTTTTCTCAGCTAGAACTTCTTGCTTCTTGTTTCTAAAATTTCTTGTTTTATTTTCCGCTATAGAGGGAGCTTACAAAACATGTTATAAGCAGAACTGCCTGCCTTGTTATTTTCCCTGGGATCCTCTACCTACTTCAGTTTTACATTATGTTTGCTGTATTATCAAAGAGTGGAGCCCATGATGATATGATGTCCAGTGCTTTCCAAGCCAGTCTTCAGGTACCTTTATATTTTGCTATATACATGTTTACATGTTTCTCTACCAATGCAAGGGAAAATTTATAGTGATGTCAATTTTGTATCAGTGTTCAATATTAATTTAGCAGCTCTGTATTTACGATTAAAATTTTGCTACTCCCAGGGAGGATTGGCAAAGGTCACACACGGCCAAGCAGAGGGTAAGTTTTCCAAATAGTGTTGTTGATCTTACACTATGCCTTTTTGTATTGATAATGTTTCATCATTGCATTTTTATATTACAAACAACCAAAGTTGGCCTGAAGTTCAGCTGGGCTGGTTAGCCTTATGGCATAGAGCACATCTATTTATAGACACTTTTATGGTTTTTTAACTTTTGAAGTGGACAAATTAGTGAAAATCTGCCAACACCACTGCAAAAAGGGGCTTAAAACTAGGAAAGGTCCTGAGTTTGATAGTGATCTGTGGGAAAATAACAAGGATATTGCACTGCAAAGTCGCAAAGTTTTACAGATGTTTGTATGGTGGGGGGTTTGTGGGGGGGGGAGGGGGGGGTACAAACTTGACCCAAACATCTCTTAAATAAAACAACCATGTGTTTTGTATGGACCAGCTCTGTCAAGCAATTCAGTTTGCAGCCTTTCTTCCATAATACTGAAAATGGTCTTGCCTGTTTTTAAGCCAAGACTGCAGGGTTTTTGAGATCAATGCTGGAATATTTACTTTATGATGTATTTCATCAGATTGCCTGTAGACCAGCTCGGTCAGCTCAGTGCACTTCATAATAAAAATTATTAAGCGAAGCATTTTGAGATCAATGCAGGTATTACAACCATTACTCATATAGCTATATAGTCCTGAGGTCTGACTACAGTACTCTTTCACCACTTCAGAGGTAGCATATGGTTCTCAAGTCACACTACGGAACACCTTTGGTAAGCAATGCTGGCTTCACTCTCATGAGCACACCTATCCCGTCAAGTATCCTGATGGTCGTGGTAGCTCAGCCCAGCAGCAAGTCACATGTTATGGCTTTAAGGATGTCAATAACTGGTGGATTATCAAAGACCCAAAAACGTAAGGCTCTATGATTGGCCGTTTCCTCTTAACCCCTTCACTGCCAGAGTACTTGATGGAGTTTTGTAAGGCGACCCTAACTTTTGAGTCTGCAGACGAAATCCTCCGATGTGACCATTCAAATGAAAGCTCTCTGCTTGTCCTTTCACATGATGCTATTTGTTTGTCAAAATTTTTGAAAATGAAATGTGGAAATTTGGTCGAAATTTGCCTTCGGCCACATTTGGCCGTGAAAGGATTAAAGAGCACTATCAGAGTTGTCAGCTTGGTTGTTTTCTCAGTCCTTTTGCCACGTGGATGTGCATTAAGATTTAACTTGTGGATTTGCCCTCAAGAACTACTCTTTGTTAGGATTTCACCGTACACTAGGATGTTTTTTGTGTTAATGGATGTATAATTTTAGAAAACTTGTGTAATATAGTTACAGCTTAATAGCTGATTTCACATTTTAGAGAGATCCCATTGTCTGGCAGTTTTGTTGTCAATATAATATTATTTTGGTGGATTTTCCAAATGTATATTCTTCCTTTTGGGCTGATGCCTTGGCCATTCATTTTTCAGAGAATCCCTTGCTATAGAGTATCCACCAAAACCTGTACACAATGGCGATATAATTCAGATTGTTCATGGGGTGACTGGTAGAGCTTTGAACAGGTAAGAAGAGATCCTAGCAACAGCAACTGATTTAACTTTTGTGATATTATCTATAAAGAACGTCATTGTTTGTCTTGAAACTCTCGAAGGTTCTGTTCAATCATGCCTGTGATGAGCTCTTTGAGTGTTGTCAACCTGCTAAGAAACTGGCTACTTTGAAACTATTTGATTCCAATAGGTTGTACTTAAGCCGAGGAAAGAGAACCAACATTTTACACTTTTATTTTATTATTTAGTCATGATGTTGCTGCTCCTTTGAACCCGTCCAATCAGGAAGTTTCCTGCTACATTGACTACAACATTTCAATGCCTGCTCAGAACCTATGGAAACTGGTATGTGTATCTGCACAGTAAACAATAATGTACTGTATTTTCTTCAAAAACATGTCTACGAACAACTAAGAAATCACTTTTTTAAAGCTACCATTAGCTCAAGTTTATTGTTTAAGGTGGCTTCGTCATTAGTAAGGGCACATTGAGGTATGACTTTAACTGCTGTATGTTGCTTCCAATTCAAAAAAAGGTATTGGTTTTGTAAGCTACCTTGTATCAGACCGCAGATAGAACTGTCGAACACCTTTGTTTATGACAGCAAAATGAGCACGGGCGGCATTTCTGCGAGGAATTCGCACCTCAGCCAGGGGAGCGAATGACATTGGAGTCACCTCAAATTCACCAGATTGATCCTCTATTTCCTTCGTATCCTGGGGCCAGGAGACAAAAAAAATGAGAACCAACCTGGGTTCAATCAAAATTAACCAGAAAGCAAATTTCACCTGTAACATACACATACCACCATGTTATTTGTATATGTTGTAGTTAATTTTTCATTTCAGGTAATTTTTATTTTTTCCTTTGTTTAAATTTCATTAGCATACATTACCATACCCAAAAACAAAAGGAAAACAAAAATTACCTGAGATAAAAAATTAGCTGCAACATATATATTAGTGCTGTTGTTGATTGGTGTTGATGCTGTTCTTTTGGCTCCAACATTCAAATCTTTAATTAACGCGGTTTTAATATTTGTCTTGTGTTTTTCAACGTCAGGAGATAATTAACCCAGACGGTAGTAATGTATGGAAGACTATTCACTCTCAAGTCCGACTCATTCATGTTAACACTTCTCAAGCTGTAAAGGTGGGTTTTCTCAGTATTTGATATGAGGGAAATCGTCCAGCTGGCTGTCATTATCGCTATTGTTATCACGAAAGGCCGATTTATAGCGGGCGCGCGCAGCGAAGCCCCGCAGCGAAGCAAAATGGGAAACCTATCCATGCGAGAAAATTTGGTTATGACGTCAGCGTACGCCCGCCCGTACGTACGGACTGGCAGGGAGGTACTAAGTGGACTATGATGGGTGGGGTTGGGGAATCCAAGACATGTAGCTTGCGGTTGTATCGGCGAAACGTTAGCCAGTTCACCTAGAGGCAACCAAATGCGGGGCAAATGAATCCATTAATACTACTCAATGAAAATGAAAGCGGTATTTGAGAGTAAATAGGACAACTCAAGGCTACGTTCGCAGCAGTAATGTGAGGCTATCGGTAGTGCGTAAATGCAGTGAATTTGCGAAACTGATTCTTTAACATTGACTTGAGAGTGAAATTAAGACAAAAGAAAGGAAAGTTTAAATCTTCCCACTCCTTCCTTGACTCGCGCCGATAGCAATCACTCATTTTCAGACAGCCAGTTTACTTTGAATTTAAACACCCGCTATGGCCAAGGTGTTCTCGACTCAGACGCCAGGGACTTAAATTGGGTACTGAATTTCTTTCATTATTTTTCTTTTGAGGTCTGAATGGTGGTAAAAAAAAAACAAATTTTGGTGTGAAATAGGGCAAGGTTTTCAGACGATAAACCTTTATAAGCCGTAAGAGTTATCAGCATCAAATTTCTCCTTGTAATATCCATGCTTTGTAAAACAGAGTGGTCATGAGAATTACGAACATGATCACACAAGATGAATTTGCTTGATATTTTATCAACTTCTCCCCACTACTTCTGTAGCAAGTGAATTGGGGCAGCAATTGAGAATTCAAATGATGATCTTAGGGTTTAAAGGGTTAATACTGGCCATCCCCACACGCTGTGTTGACTGGGACTTTAACCTGGCATGGAAGATGAAAAATAAGGTTTCAAATGTATTTCATTGACTTCACTTGGAGCTCGCGTTTCGCATTTATAAGCGAGGAATAAAAGAACCGTAATCCATTAAATTTATTTTAAAAGTCCCTCGATGAGCTTAAGTTTAATTAATAAGCATCATTACAATCACACTACACTGTATTCGTAAGAAAAATCGATATAGTGCCCGTTGTTTATATCAAGCGAGCATAAACATCACAGCACGATGTTCCTCCATTGTCGCTTTCACTGCTATTCGCCAAATCTTCGCCGTACCATAAACGAAGCTCCTGTCCTCGAGTCACGGATGGAGGATTGGAGAAAGCAGACAGCACCAGCGCTGGAGAAAGTGAGTTGTAACCAGGAATCAAAGACCACTTGAGTGTCTTGTCAGTTATGAACTGGCTCGAAGGCAAAAGAACGCTACCGCCCGAGGTTGTTATTACAGCGTCTACATGGTTTTTCACGCTTGAGTGTTGGTTGCATCCCCAATAAGACCAATGGTAAGTTTTGCGTGTATCACACGTCACATAACCATACACGTGGACCAGTTTGACTGATGCCAGTTTGCCGCTGGACGGAACAAGGAACTTGCCAAACCGGTTGTCTTTGGCTCCAAAACATACCAAATTTGTATTCAGCTTTATCCACCCGTCTGTAAACAAGCGAAAATTAAATGTTTTGAGTAAAGTCTAAACTACATTTATTTAAACAGTGGTTATATGCTAATTGCTGACTGTGAAAACAAATATTTTAGCACTAACTGCCAAGAAAGAATAAACATTTGAAGCGAAGATTATTTTACTGAATCATCTCGAGCCGATTTAGATCAATTAAACAATAAACTTAGTATGATAATTTACTTTTCTTTTAGCTCGTATATGACACGTGGCCGACGTGGTGGTCCATTTGCTGTTAAAGAATAGCCATAATAAATGTGCAAAATATATTAATAAAATCCTGTTTTACGAAGCGACTGCTATAGGTATCCAGTTTTTGATACAACTAGATTGAACACATTTGCTTGAAATGACGGAATTCTTAAATGGTTGAGTTTTTTAAACCTAGAGATTTTTTTAGTTTATTTTAATATTCGCTCCCCTCCTTGGATTATGTTTTTTAGCCAAAAAATCCGGGACAATTATGAGGAAGCAACGATTTGTCTTCTGTTCATTTGTCCGTCAGTATCGTCGACTTCTTGAACAGTTCTTTAGCTGTGATATCTGTGGAGGGAATTATAAACGTCCTTGATAAAGCTGAGGGAATTTAAAATTTGAAGGTGGAGTTGTGGTTTTCTAAACTTGATCGTTGCGATGACGTGTCCCGACTCAGGGAATACCTTATCATTTTAAGAGCGATACAAACACATAATTAAGAGAGGAAGCGATTGGGCAGCTTATTTGAAGTCCATGCACTTAGCATTAAATTGTGAGTAGTTTTATTATCAATGTGCGATTTCGTATTCATTGCCTCGCGTAAGAAAAACGAGCGATCCACGGCTTTTGTCTACAGTTCCTAACTGGGTAGCTTAAGATGTCACTTAGCATTGAATTATATGTTTTATCAGTCTTATTATCAATGTGTTCGTATTTATTGCCTCGCGTCCGCCAAGTTTGAAGACCGAAAAAAAAAACTTAAAAAAAGGAAGGAGAAAAGGCGTAATTTAAGGCAGGAGCAATTTGTTCCATTTCGATATACCTCCGTTGTCCTTCTTGTTCATCTTTGTCAGCTGTTTGGTAAGTTCCTTCTTCAATGTTTCAAATTCTTTTTTGAGTTGCGATTTGTTCCATTTCGATATACCTCCGTTGTCCTTGTTCATCTTTATCAGTTGTTGGGTATGTTCCTTCTTCAATGTTTCGAATTCTTTTTTGAGTTGCGAAGTGATTTCCCTGAGGGTATCAGCACCCGAATTCTGACAAAGTTGATTCACTACAACGTCACGATTGGTTTTGTTCGCTCCTAAACTGTTTGCAGCGACTGCATACATACAAACGCTGACAAGAAACACCAAGCTTGTCTTCATATTGATATTTACGGAAAAAATGTATCTCGACTTAGTTAGCGACTTGTGACCGAACGATCCAAAGAATAGCAATGCGATTTCACAGAGGTGATCCCTAAGGGAAGCAGTCCCCCATTCTGTACGTGAAATAACAAGAAAAGAGAAGTATTTTTAGCAGCCTAATGACGGAGGATTAATATAATGCTATTTAATTTTATTTACTCAATCGACTGAAGTATTAATGAACTGTGCTACTAGAGCGTTGAATTTCCGGATGTCAGAAAATAGGCGGAAGTTAAGTGGCCATTTTTTAATATGCTAAGCAACCTGACGCTCCTTTTCGGGCAACATTCGGTCAGTTGGCGGGAAACTCAAGTGGTTACCATACAACCGTGGCTAAATTTTTTTTTTAAAAAAAAGCGTCTGTAGTATGACCTCGACAACGACAAAACAATAGAAGAAAATATTGCCCTAGAGTTGCCTTTCACATTGCTATGATGTTTATCACTAGTACATTCAGTCAATGTACTTAATCCGCTAAAAGCAAGTAGTTTAGTAAACATAATAATCAGTTCACTTGTGCCGTTAATGTAGTTCATAAACTGTAATAATAATAATAGTAATAATAATTTTCATGATGATAATAATAATAATAATATTTTTTTGAATTTTGAATTATTAAATATATTCTTTATTAGTATATATGTTGTAGTTAATTTTTTATCTCAGGTAATTTTTCTTTTTCTTTTGTTTTTGGGTATGTTAATGTGTGCTAATGGCGTTGAAACAAAAGAAAAAAAAATCTACCTGAGGTAAAAAATTAACCACAACATATACACACTAAGTGATCTTGCTGATTTAAGCAATCTGATTGATTCGCAATCTCGGACTATTCAACAATATTCACCTCCTAGCGAGTGAATAATGTGTGCGCACGGTATTTTTCCCAGTTTTTTAGAGAACAATCCTTTTAAAGTCGACAAAATTCAGGGTTGACTCTTTTTAAGGCAAGAAAAGACTTGGAAGGATTCAAAACGGCGTTTTTCCATTTACTGCACAGGCGGCCCAGACGTAGTATGTGTCACTGAATGAATATATTAATATTCACATGGACAAATTAATGCGATGAGTCGTCGAAACTCCAATGAACTAAAATAGTCCAAAAATTAAAATATAACAAAATAAAGCTAAGATACCTTTAACTGAACGTATCCTTGTCTTTCCTGGCCGGTTTAAGTGGCATTTTGTTGAGTTATGCAATTGTAGGTACTATCCACTATAGAAGAATTAAAGGCTGGCTACAAAACAAACAGACCATCTCCACGCGCCTTCACACGAAGCGCTATAAATTCGAGAATAATCGACGAATCCGCTCCAAATAACCATCGGCTAATCTGCAGGTAACGTGTGCTCCTGCTTCTGGCTCGCTTGCTCCACAAAACCCATCGCAACTGCACAATAATTGCTCGCTCATCAACAACCACTGTTGACCTTTACGCTTCGATATGACCGCAAACGACCAGGTGTAATACGCGACGTGAGTATTCAAGCTTAGCGACCACGTTCGCGCAACAATGCAGCACTTGCTATGGGAGGGATGGTACTATTGCTTCTAGGTCAATCAATCGGGAAAATAATATTGAAGCCCTTATAATTTTTAAAAAGATCCAATTTTCCCTAGGAGCACCGAACAGATACGAATCTTATAGCGGAGCTAAAAAAAATGAGCAGCAGTGGAAAAAGTGAACAAGAACATGTACCACATTTTCTCCATAAAAAGTGAAAACCAGGACGTTTTCTGGACGTTTCACGTTACAGTCATGCAAATCAACGGCAAGGAAATGTACAAGAAAGTGTGCTGCAATTAGACCTATTGTTGTTTTTCACAGTTCTGGTCAAGGGCATCCAACTTTTAATTTTTCACATTTCACTCACCGGGTTAGGCTATTTTTCGTAGAGAGTAAAATGGAATCCTAAAATTTTCGAATTCAATAATGTGATGAAAGAAGGTATCTGAAAAATTTTATCCTTCGTAATACGTTAAATTGCATCTAAAATTTTCGGGAAAATAATTCTGAATTCCTCGTAATTTGGAAAAGACTCAAGTTCCTCTAGAATGGCCGAACACTGAGATACAAGTTTTATAGCGCCACTTAGAATGCATTTCTATAGAGCTAAAAGTACTTTATGAATAGCTACAAAAGTGTTTTCAATTGAAAGTATTTGAGGAAACAGTCGTTGCGTGGCCCTGTCTCGTTGTCTTCTCCGCTTAGCATTACACGATATATTTTATATTTAGTATGAGCAAACTATAAATCATTAGCTTCGCTTTTAGCCCTCCTGACTAAATTTATGTAAGCGCTGTTTAGAATGCATTTTTCGGTCAAAAGTACTCTGGACAGCCGTAAATGTGTTTTCAATGCATTTAGGGGGAAATCATCGTTGGGTGCCCCTGAGTTTTGAGAATAATAATAATAATAATAATAATAATAATAATAATAAAAGATATCGCGCCCATAAATTTTACTTTACGATATCTTCAGCTGTATCTTCTATTCAGCTGCATAGCGGGGGCCAGATTTTGCCTTTTTCCTGGGCGGAAAATTCTCGTCCTCCTTCACCAGTTTGGACAACATATTATGGAGTAAGACGTTGTTAATCTAAGCAAATAAGTCTGGTAGAGTCAAGAACCTATGCAAGCGGCTGGACGAACAATCTGACAGCAGCTGAGACAGCGAACGTTAGAAGAATTCGAACTTGAAAACCAGGGCTGCCCTGTTGAAAACTTACGGACGGTCCCGCGATCGCCTTTTGTTTTCTGGTCAAAACTAACGCAGCGGACCCTCGCTCAGTGTTGATTGACCTTGAACAATTGTACCATCCCTCCCATTGCAAGTGTTGCATTGTCGCGTGGACGCGGTCGCTAAGCTTGAATATTCACGTCGCGTATTATACCTGGTCGTTTGCGGTCAAATCGAAGCGTAAAGGTCAACAGTGGTTGTTGATGAGCGAGCAATTATTGTGCAGTTGCGATGGGTTTTGTGGAGCAAGCGAGCCAGAAGCAGGAGCACACGTTACCTGCAGATTAGCCGATGGTTATTTGGAGCGGATTCGTCGATTATTCTCGAATTTATAGCGCTTCGTGTGAAGGCGCGTGGAGATGGTCTGTTTGTTTTGTAGCCAGCCTTTAATTCTTCTATAGTGGATAGTACCTACAATTGCATAACTCAACAAAATGCCACTTAAACCGGCCAGGAAAGACAAGGATACGTTCAGTTAAAGGTATCTTAGCTTTATTTTGTTATATTTTAATTTTTGGACTATTTTAGTTCATTGGAGTTTCGACGACTCATCGCATTAATTTGTCCATGTGAATATTAATATATTCATTCAGTGACACATACTACGTCTGGGCCGCCTGTGTTTACTGCAGCTGAGTTTTGTCCTCGATGAATTGTTTACAACTCCCGTTTATTCGCGTAGAAGAGGCCGTTTCGTGAACTCAGCTTTTTTGGGAAACCATTAAAATGATTTCCTCTCTGATTTTGTTGAGATCGCTTAGTGTGTATTTACTAAAACAATTATTCTTCTCAATCTCGGTGAATAGTGGCTTTAGGAATATTTACCTGGCCGCTTCGCAGCTCGGTAAATATTTACCAATTATTCACCTCGATTTCAAAGAATAATTGTTAATTATTACTTAAAAAACATATCTTATGTTACAAAGTCGATAAAATAAATATATAAAATGGAGAAAACACTAGTAAATGGAAGAGAATAAGACAAGAAATATAAATGATCTACAAAAGGAGTTACATTTAGAAAAACTGAGTCCTCGTGTGTGATTCTTTTGAGGGTGATACCTGAAGGACAGTGACGTCATATAATATTTACCGCATTATTCTATGAAAACATCCACGGTCGCTACTGCGCATGCATCCAAAAAAGGAACAATGAACACTCCCATAGTTTTCTCATTATCGTCTTCAAGATGAAAATTTCGTCATTTTCTTCTGTCTACAATAAACTGGGGCTCAATTCTCTCTTGTTTTTTTGCCATGCCGCAAGCGAATAAGACGAAAGAGATCATCGGCCTCCGTCCAATGAGTTTTTTCAAGCTAGTTCAGTGTCCTCGTGTGTGATTCTTTTGAGGGTGATACCTGAAGGACAGTGACGTCATACATTGTTCACCGCCTTATTCTATGAAAACATTCACGGTCGCTGCTGCGCATGCCTCCAAAAGAGTAACAATGATCACTGCCATAATTTACTCATTACCGTCTTCAAGGTGAAAAGTTCGTCATTTTCTGCTGTCTAGAATAAACAAAGATGCGCGTGCAAAGATGAGGGTATCGTGAATAAGGTCTACCATAAGTTTACAGCAGATGTCAAAGTCGAACATATTAAACTCTTGTCATTATAGCTGTCGATTAAATTATTCATATAGCTCTCTATCAACATTTTGAACAAGTAATCTGTCACTGGCAATGTTGATTATCGGCGATTGTTAATATCAAATATTTGATTTGATAGATTTCTGGTAGAGCACAGCAGCGCTAACGCAGAGGCCATGGGTTCGAATCCCGTTGAAGCCCTGTGATATATTTTTTTTCGGGTTAATTTGCAATTGCTTGGATTGCTCCACTACTGGGACGATCAAATGTTCATTTAGTTATGTATTTCCCCAGTTCACGTCATCTTCAAAAGTATATTTGTTTCCAAGCTGAATAAGTCAGATCTAGAGAGACATCCACTCCTTCACAGAACTTCATAGAACTTTCCATCTACATTAACGGCTATTCCATGAGATTAATAGCGGATACTCCGCTCGCGCGAAGCGCGCGCAGCGGAGTCCTATAGCTAATAGCTTGTGTACAGACGCACCCTCCCCTCAAAAAGAAAAAAACAATGGGGGGAGGGACGAGTTTCTCTCCCCGGTTTTTTCTGAGGGGAGGAGCGGCGTCTGTACACAGGTTACGTAGCTAAGAAAAAATGGGAAACCTATCCATGCGAGAAAATTTGGTTATGACGTCAGCGTTCGTCCACGCGTACGTACGGACCGGCAGTAAGGTATTAAGCAGACTCTGCAGGGGTGGGGGTGGGGAATCCAAGACTTGTAGCTTGAGTTTGTCTTGGCGAAAAGTTAGCAAGTTTACCTAAAGGCAGCGAATGGAGTTTTTCCAATGTTAAAAAGGATATTGAAATTCCGTTTGTTTGACTGACGAAGAAAAAAACGGTGAAGAGTAGTTTTAAGGGTGTGCTTTTCAAAAAATCCACACCAAGAGCCATTACTTGTTTAGACAGAACTGTTCCATTCCGGGCCCGATATAAGAAAACGTTATAAACTTATGGCGAATACAAAAGTCGGTCAGATTTTTCTTTTAGGTCTTTCCCATTTAACTAGGGAGCTTTAGCAACGACGACGGCGACGGCAACGAGATCGTCAAAAAGCAATAGGTTTGTTAAGCAAAACGACAACTTTGCACGTTCATCACGCCTTTTTGAACATTTCCTTGCGTCACTTCATGACTTTGACGTAAAAATGCCTAATTGCACGTTTTATGGAGGACGTAAACAAGCGACAACCAATTTTTTCTTTCTCTTTCTATACTTGGATGCGGTCCCCAAGAAATCAACTCCCGGAAAAGTCGCCTACATTTGACATTTTCAGCGACTTGGCACGAAGGCGACAAAGTTTGCCGAAGTGCGAATTGATTTTGAAAGTGACGTTTTCGTTGCCGTCACCGTCGTCGATGCTAAAGCTCCATTTTGACTGTAGAAATCGTAAGTTGTCTGTTACCAAAGAGTATCGTGCTGTAAACATAAGACTTTTAGCTTGATGGGAGAGTATTCATTTCAGGTGTTTTTTCTTAATACTTTTTCTTAATCACCCAGCCCCCCCACCCTTCAAAAGGAGGATTATTGTTATTGGCTTAGACTTTATTACATATTATTGCGTTCGACGAAGGAGAACGCAGTCTATTCTTTAAGGCGCGATTATAGCGCGGCTACCAAGCATGTTATTAATTTGAAAAAATGATACTGACAATGGTTGCGTGGGGCAATGGATAACACGTTGCCCTTACACGTCGAAGGTCTCGGGTTCGACTCCCGCCGGGTGAGAATTTTTTCTTTTTTTCGTAGTCGTTTTGTTTTGTTTTGTTTCGTTTTTTTTTAACATATAGGAAGCGTTTTGCAGCATCAATTTATTAGGAAATAATAGGGCCATTTATACGAGCAAAAATAAGACGCGTCTTACATAAGACGCGAACTTTTCGTATAAACGGCACATTTCGTCTAAAATAAGACGCGACTTAGCTTAGACGCGTCTTATTTTACAACAGCCCTTAACACCTGTTCTTAGATAAGACGCGTCTTAGCTAAGACGAGTAAAACTTCGTATAGAGTGTTTTCACTCACGTGCCCAGCATTTATGCAAAGGTTTTGGAACAAAAGAAAGCGTTTGCATAAGAAAAGAGTTCAACTCCCACAGGACTGGTTTGGGACACCAACATGGCCGCCGTTTCATTGTTTTGGGACACCAAAATGGCCGCGGTGACGTCATGTGAAAAGACTCTATAAATGACTTTCGCGTCTTACTTAAGACGCGAACGGATAGTACGCATGCGTTAATTTTCCGCGTGCCATGTTGGATTGCCTTTGCTACGGGCAATATTCACATGAAAACGAGTCAAGAACAGAAATAAGACGCGAACCATTTATACGAGCTTTTTTCGTCTTAGATAAGACATGCTCGTATAAATGGCACAGTTCGCGTCTTATTTTTCCTCGTAAAAATGGCCCTAATGTCACATTTGACAGTAAACCTAAAAAGCTCGAACGCACTTCCTAATCTGAGATTACTACTAGTGAAGCACATAGTTGACCAAGCGTTACAAAGATCAGCTGAATTTTTGAACGGCACAAAAGCGGAGCAAATGTTCTGCTAACACTCGATGAAAATGGAAGCGGTATCTGAGTGTTAATAGGACAGCTCCTGGCTACGTTCGCAGCAATAATGTAGCCTGCGTAGCTGGCGTCGAAAGGGTTAAAGGATAGGGAGGAAGGGAAAAAGGAAGGGGGACTAGGGAGAGAGGCGCTCGCTTCCCTTTTGCCTTTTCCCTTCTCTCCCTTCTCTCCCATCCCCATCCCCATCCACTGTGTTGATTGGGACTTTGACCTGAATGCAGGGATATGTCCAAAAACAAAAGCATCGAAGATGAAAAGTAAAGTTTCAAATTTATTTTATTGACTTCACTTTGAGTTCGCGTTTCGCATTCATAAGCGAGGAATAAAAGAACCTTAATCCATTAAGTTTATTTTAAAAGTCCCTCGATTAGCTTCAGTTTATTTAATAAGCATCATTACAATCACGCTACGCTGTATTCGGAAGAAAAATCGATATAATTCCCTTCGTTTATATCAAGCGAGCATAAACATCACAGCACGATGTTCCTCCGTTGTCGCTTTCGCTGCTGTTCGCCAAATCTTCGCCGTACCACAAACGAAGCTCCTGCCCTCGAGTCACGGATGGAGGATTGGAGAAAGCAGAGAGCACCAGCTCTGGAGAAAGTGAGTTGTAACCAGGAATCAAAGACCACTTGTTTGCTCCAGTTATGAAGTGGCTCGAAGGCAAAAGAACGCTACCTCCCAAGGTTGTTATTACAGCGTCTACTTTGGTTTTCAAGCTAGATTGTGGGCCGCATCCCCAATAAGACTGGTAGATGGCTCCTCTAGCACAAGCGACAACCATACACGTGGACCAGTTTGACTGATGCCAGTTTGCCGCTGGACGGAACAAGGAACTTGCCAAACCGGTTGTCTCTCGCTCCAAAACACACCAAGTTTGTATTCAGCTTTATCCACCCGTCTGTAAAGAAGCGAAAATTAAATGTTTTGAGTAAAGTCGTTAAAGTAAAGCGAAGATTATTTTACTGAATCATTTCGAGCCGATTTAGATCAATTAAGCAATAAACTTAGTATCCTAATTGTCTTTTGTTTTAGCTTGTATCTGACGCGTGGCTGACGTGGTCTGTTTGCTGTTGATGAATAGCCATACTAATATGCAAAATATATTAATAAAAATCTGTCTTTTTTACAAAGCAACTGCTATAGGTATCCAGTTTTTGATACAACTAGATAGAACACATTTGCTTGAAATGAAGGAATTCTTCAGAGAGATTTTTTCAGTTTATTTTAAAAGTCGCTCCCCTCCCCGGATTACTTTTTTTAGTGAAAAATTCCGGGACAATTATGAGGAAGCTAAGATTTGTCTTCTGTTCATTTGTCCGTCAGTATCGTCGGCTTCTTTAACAGTTCTTCAGCTGTGATATCTGTGAAGGGAATTATAAACGTTCCTTGATAAAGCTGAGATTTAAAGTTTGAAGGTGGCGGTGTAACTTTCTAAACTTGATCATTGCGATGACGTGTCCCGACTCAGGGAATACCTTATCATTTTAAGAGCGATACAAACACAAAAGAGAGGAAGCGATTGGGAAGCTTGTTTAAGATCCATGCACTTAGCAAGACTTTAGTAGTCGTATTATCAATTTTTTCTTATTCATTGCCTCGCGTAAGAAAAAGGAGCGATCCACGGCTTGTCTACAATTCCTTTTGGGTAGCTTAAGGATCTCACTTAGCATTGAATTATAAAATTTTATCAGTTCTATTATCGATGAGTTCGTATTTATTGCCTTTCGTCCGCCAAGCCTGAATACTAAAAACTATACCTCTGTTTTCCTTCTTGTTTATCTTTATCAGTTGTTCGGTAAGTTCCTTCTTCAATGTTTCAAATTCTTTTTTGAGTTGCTTAGTGATTTCCTTGAGGGTGTTAGCACCCGAATGCTGACAAAGTTGATTCACTACAACTTCACGATGGGTTTTGTTCGTTCGTAAAGTGTTTGCAGCGACCGCATACATACAAACGCTGACGAGAAACAACAAGCCTGTCTTCATATTGATATTTAAGGTCAAAATGGATCTCGACTCAGTTAGCGACTTGTGACCGAACGATCCAAAGAATAGCAATGCTATTTCACATAGGTATTCCTATAGCAACCAATTACCTATTCTGTACGTGAAATAACAAGAAATAAGAAGTATTTTTAGCAGCCTAATGACGGAGGATTAATAATATATAGATTTAGCCATGGCTAAAAGCGAGGCTCCCATTAGTAAATTTATAATTTAAATGAAACAATAAACTTGTATTCGAATTCCACAATTCAGTTAACTTTAGAGCACATTTATGTGACTTTTGAGGGAAAGGCTACCTGATTTTAGAGAAAAATAATTTGCAAACAGCCCAAGAGTGAACCAAATCTTACATCGAGTTGATAGCCTCATATGTACACTCAAAAACTGGTAATCATCTTTTATCACATTTAAGAGCCGTAATGGCTATTGATCACCGTAGATCAATTAGGCTTAGAAAAAAAAATCAGGCCAACGTTTTGGCGTTCGACAAGTTTACTTTGGAAAATCTTGCCAACAAATCTGGGTGTGTGTAAACCAACCTTTTATACCATGGACAGAAAGCAGTATTTCACAATACAAATTGCTCTCATTAAATATTCATAAACTGTTAAAAAAATTTTCCAAAATCACCTATACGGCCATCCGGTTCTCACTTTTGTAGTGCGAGCTGTAGCGAGTGTTTGAATGAACATTAACAGAGTTACGCTCCAAGATAATAAAGAATTTATCATGTTTATTTTTTATTTGATGGTTTAACGCGCGGCATTTTGAGAACTCCTGCACGCGATGTTCACTGAACGACTGAAAACAATCGGCATAGCGATTAAAATTGCACGAGAGACTACTAACAATCAATAAAAGAAATATAATTCGGTGAAACATAAACAGAAACAACAATTTTCATTCAGGAAGACAAGTATTAAAGTGTCCCTAAATATCCTGAGTCTTCAAACTTCAAGCTTAAGTTTGCTTAAGTTTATGTTTTAAGCCGGCTTCCCGGTGTTTGTTTTTTCAAAGACGAACTCGAGGCAAGAAAATCGCTCAAAGCTTTCTTTTCCGGCCAGAATTATAACTAAAGATTCTTTGGAACATTTTCTTTCTATTTGCGGTGAGAAACTGTCTAAAGGCTTTTTAAAGTTCTGTAAGATTATATCAAACCAGATACTCGGTGAGATCGTTGTCTCAAATCTTACAAACGCGCATAAACTAAATTCCCGCATAAACTACGCTCCACTTCATTAAATTAGATACAAAAAACAAACATGAAATACAATAATTTCTCTGGCTTACCATTCGAGATGCAGCTCCTGAAAGTTATCAGGTAAAGCCAGTATCGCTTCAGACTTTGCAATCCTCTTACGCATCAAGCAAGGTGAAAACGAAAACGATGCCATCCGAAATCGGATTTCCGACTTTGACAAGCGACGTATTTCTCAACCAAAAACCCAATAAACAAACTAGCCATGAGTAACAGAAGACTCCTGATAGCAGCTGAATTTCATTTTGTACATCCAGTGGAAAAAGACAGTTAAAAACATCACAAGTTGACACAAAACTCTGTCAGCTTCAGCTGTTAAAGTAAACAAGATTCAAGATGCTGCATAAATTTTGCGCATGAACTCACCTGTCAAATTTTGACCAATCAGAGCATAAAAATTGGACGTAGAGCGTGACCAACGCGTGACCATTGTGAGAAAAAACAAAAGCAACTGTCTTCCCTGCCTGTAACAGCTGGCTGAATTTTCACGTCCGAGGTCAGTTTGCAATCAAAATTTTAATTGTGCAGCACATAAACACAACATATTTCATATGAATTTAGAAAAAAAATTGAACTTGAGCCTGCGATCACTTGAAAACTAGTTTACTTGTCAGCGGATAACTTCAAAAAAATACTTGACCTCGACGGGTCGACACCTGAGCCCGCGATACGGTCAAGTGATACTGGTCAGCGGGTACTCTGTTTTGACAGCTGTCAATTGATCAAAACATTGATGTCCAATATGTGTGCATTATCAGTTTTCCTGTGCTCCCAAACTAGTAAAAGTATGAGATTGAACGTTGTTCGCGATCTAGTGAAACAGTTAACTGGTCAGCGGACAGCTTCCAAATAAATCACGTCACCTCGATGAGTTGACACATGAGCCCGCGATATGGTCATGGGATACTGGTCAGTGGCTATCCTGTTTGGACAGCTGTCAATTGACCATATTGTTAATGTCCTATATTAAAGATGTGGACTTGCCAAGACACGCCTGAGACACCCCTCCCTTCCTTTTGATAGTCTCCCCTACCCCACCCATACAATCTGTAGACGCGCACGTACGTACGTACGTACGTACGTACGCTCGGTCAATCACGTGACAACCAAACGAAAAGAGGTTGACCATATTCCATGGGTATGGGGCTCTGTCCCACGCGCGCTTCGCGCGCGCGGGAGCCCCGCTATAATGCTGTTTAATTTTATTTACCTAATCGACTGAAGTATTAATGAACTGTGCAACTAGAGCGTTGAATTTCCGGATATCAGAAAATTGGCGGAAGTTAAGTGGCCATTTTTTAATACGTTATAAAAGCAACCTGACGTTCCTTTTAAGGCAAAATGCCGTCAGTTGGCGGGAAACTCAGGTGGTTACCATACAACCTTGGCTAAATTTCCGTTTAGCTAAGTTATTTAAAAAGCGGCTGTAGTTATGACCTCAACAACGACAGAATAATAGAAGAAAATATTGCCCTAGGGTTTTCTTTCACATTATTATGATGTTTATGACTTATACAACCAATCAATGCACTAAATCCACTAAAAGCAATTAGTTTAGTTAACATAATAATCAGTTCACTTGTCCCGTTGATGTAGTTCATAAACTGTAATAATAGTAAGAATAATAATAGTAATAATAATATATTTTTTTAACTTTTAACAATTAGATAAGTTCTTTATTGATTACTAGATAAAAACAAATATCTAATATTACAAAGTCGATAAGAGGAAAGCTATATAAAATGGAGAAAAAACTAGTTAATGGAAGATATTAAGACAGAAAATGTTAAAAAAAATACAAAAGGAGTTACATTAAGAAAAGGTGAGTCTTTTTGTATTAATGTATTCTTAAAAAGCTCCGAATGTTTCTTGGACTTATTCTTAATTAACATATGAGAAAAATTATCGTAGTAGAACAAGAATTTTTTTTAAAAACTAAGCCTAAATACGATAAATATTAAAAGTATTAATACTAAAATCTCGCTAGTTCCTGATCGATTTCAAAGCCCCTGCTAGTCCTAAATGTGAAAAATATTAAAAGTTCTAATCCTAAAATCTCGCTGGTTCCTTATCGACTTCAAAGTCGTTATCTGTAATGTTCAGCGGAGCTCTTGGCGTACAATGTGAGCCTCTCTAGCACAAGTTAAAAACAGCGCAGACCTCAAGAGGGCGAATGAGACTGACGCGAATCCGTGGAATTGTAGTACTATAATCCTCTCCATTGGAGTAAAGGAGCCTTGTTCGACTTCTATCACCCCTCTGGCATACATTCTCTTCTTCTCACTCTCATGCTGGCGGTAGATTTGTTTTGTGGTGAGGCCTTTATAAGACTCTGCATTCGGGTAACAAACCCTAACGTCGAAAAAGGCAGAGCCTTCAGTGGCGGATCCAGAATTTTTTTTTGGCCCTTTGGGCCTCATTTTGGTCGAAAATAAGGGGGGGACTGGCCCCGCGGGCCCCTCCGCTGGATCCGCCACTGGCCTTGCAACTGCCAGAATCCACGAGCGTGAATGTTGAGCCGGGGCGGGGCATCCGCTGCTGTGTTCGTACCAGGTGTCAGCACTTCTCCGTTTATCTCCTGAGGTGCTGGCTCAATTTGGCTGTCAGTATATACCATCTTTAGAATTTCGATAGTTTGCTACAACTCCGTCGCACGATACACGTAGATATACGTTTAAGTTAAACCGGCGACAGTCACGAGGCAGTTTTAGACTTGATTTACACGCCACAACGCGTGTCCCAGGCTTGTAGTAAGCACACCGTATGCCATAACGTTTTACCGTGTAAATGTGCGTTAACAGGTCTGCTCGCTTTTTGTAGATCTCTGGAATGGAATTACCAGACTGGGGATTCCGTCAGCTTGAAGTATGCACAGACAAGTCCGTCAAACAAACAAACACTATCTGGAATGTTGAGGAGCATCAACAAAATATTACATACCGTAAGTTGCTTGTCCCTGGTACTTTTGTAACTTTCTGTGTGAAAGGCTATAGCTACAAGCCTGGTGAAAACATCTTGGGACACGTCGTGTACTTCTTATAAAGGCTCGGGAATGTTGTTGTAAGAGCCTATTTCTGCTGTCCCTCTCTCCTTCAATGTGATTGTGTTAAAAAAAAATGACTTTACGGCATAACGTCTGCACTGCACCGGGGGGAGGGAGTAGGGAAAATGCGTCATTTTGACGAGCTATTGCGTTAGTGTCCCAAGAGTTTGACCAGGCTTGTAGCTCCTCTCAAATATCTTTATATTTCGATGAAAGAGAGAGAGAATAACAGACTGTTACTAACTGATTCGCAGACAATGCGAGGTCGCTTGCTAGAGAGTTTGTGCAAGGGAGGGACCTCGGATCTTCAGAGAATCGAGCAAACTTCTATCTTGCTTGCGGTCATATGGGGAAAGCCCCACCCCTTCCCCCCAAAAAGGGAAAAAGTTGCAAGCTCAAAACAAATAAAACCTTAAATAAACAAAATAAATAAGGTAAATAGCCAGTAGACCTACGGAAAATAATGTACAGCTGTAGGCGTTTCATTACGAATTGGTACAAAACGATAGTTTGCTACATAGGCGGGCGTTCATATTTGCAAAAATTTGATCGTTTGAGACTCGAAACGCTTTCCATGCTGCAGCATTGCTAGAAATCAATTGCAGTTTTTGTGAATTTCTTTCCTAATGAGCAAATCTCTTTGTCAGCTGAGGGGGAAGGTCCGAAAGATGTTGAAAAGGAAACCCAGCAGTTAGAAAGGGCCTTCAAACCGATGCCATTTTTATCAAAATTTTGGGAAATGCAGGTACGTGTGTACAGTACAGAAATTTTATCATCAGCAAGGGTCTTCCGTGCGACAGGAAGGGCGATTCCTTCTCTACCTTATAAAGTAATCGTCTTTGTTTTTCTACAATTATTCGTTTCCCTTAAATTGGTATTACAGGGCTTTTTCCGTCCAGGTACCAACAAAAATAATCTCAGTTATGTTTTAAATGTTGATTTCGCCATTTATTCCACTCGTTAACAGTTGACACCTGAGAAGATTTTATTGTACTCAGTGAGACCTTGTAAAAGGTGTTTGTCTTCAGTGTTCCTCCCTAGGATTTTGGGAAGGCTGGGGATATTCTGACCGTGATTTTCGACAGTGTTTGTGTGGAGCTTGACTTATAATAGAGTCAGCGACATATAATCAGTTCAAGGCTCTTTAACGAGCTTTATTTTTGTTCCGTTCATCTTGGGTTGACTTGACATTCCTTAAAAAGCGAGCACGGGATTTTCGTTAATTACTACATGTATGGTCTTTGATGGGCTCTTGTGTTTCTGGGAAATGACAGACAGTAAATCACTTTTATAATCAATTAATTGCGAGGGAATACACAAATAGAAACACCAGACAGTGTTTCATTAACATTCTCAAGTGATTTTTTTCTTTGAAACACGTGGTTCTAGATGTCATCGTAAGCTTCCGTAGGGTTAAATCTTTGGTTTTTAAGCCAGGCGTCACCGATTTTCCCTGAACTAAGCTAGGCGGCCCGCCTAGCCTAAAATGCCCAGGGAGAACACTGGTTACCTTATTGATTTTGCCTTGAAAGGTTAAGAAGGGAGCACAAGGGGGCATGTTACTGGGAACCTGTAGCACTTGGTAACCGACCAAAGCACGTGCAGTACACAGTACGTTTTCCAGAGACATGAAACAGGCGCAGGGAACAAATCACAATGTCCACGCAAAAAATATTGCGGGTCGTGTTTTTTCTTGTTGTTATGTTCCTGGTTAGTACACTAAAATAAAGAATTCTGGTAGTTGTGTCTGATTGACAAAACTATCGATCCAGTTACACATGATCATATTTGAGACCCGTACTCTAAAAAATAACGGGATGCGGGCCTTCGCGCCCCTTCCCTTCCCTAAACGCGCCATTGCAATCTGTTTGATGCATGACACTGGTCATCATTAGTCCCCTAAGTGAGAATTTCTTTCTCTCCTTTTCTTTTCATTTATTTTTTTTTTCAATCATACTGTTATAAGTTTCATCTTTCACCACGTATAACACTTTTTACGATATGATAGCCTGGCTGGATAACTAACTTTATTTCTTTAACAACATCTTAATCATAACAGCTTCTAAACAGAGTTTATCAATTACTTCAAGCTCCACTGCTTTGTTGCCGTTCGTATTGTCATGTTAGATTATTGATTAATTATTCCCTCCATTTTCTAAATACCTTTTTAGCTGAAAATGATAGAGCCTAAAAAGGAACTTTCTAACGAGCATACGTTTGGTTCTCGTCCTTCGTGGTGGCCTCTGATGAGAAGAGGAGTTGCTTATTGGATTGCTAAAGACAACAATGTAAGGTTTAGTGTAAGCGATTTTCTTTTAACCCTTTCACTGCCAGAGTACTTGATGGAGTTTTTTAACGTGACTCTAACTTTTGAGTCTGCGGACGAAATCCTATGATGTGACCATTCAAATGAAACCTCTCTGCCTGTACTTACACATGGTGCTGTTTATTTTTCAAAATTTCACAAAATGAAATTTGGAAATTTGGTCGAAATTTGATTTTGGCTAAATTTGGCAGTGAAAGGGTTAAGGCTAGAAGCATGGAGATACGCTAGCCTTAGTCATATCCTCCCATCTACGACTTAATAGGGAGCTTAAGCAACGACGACGGCGACGTCAACGAAAACATCAAAAAAGCATTAGGCTTAGATTGGCAATATAACTTTGCACGTGCATCACGCTTTTTTGTACATGTCTTTGCTGTCACTGCACGACTTCGACGTGAAAGTGCCTTATTTCACGTTTTGTGGAGGACGTGAGCACAAGACGACTTTGTTTTTCTTGTTCTGCACTTCGATATGGTATTTTACAATTCAACTCCAGACAAAATGTCCCACATTTGATGAATTGAACGAGATGGAATAAGCGCAATAAAGTTTGAAGCAGCGCGACTTCACTTTTTCGTACCCGTCGCCGTCGTTGTTGTTTAAGCTCCCTAGTGTATCAAACACGAGAAGAAGTGTTTCATTAGATATCCAAACACCGAGTTAAATATGTCAAACACGAGAAGGAGTGTTTTATCTGATATCCAAACATCGAGAAGTAATACATCAAACACGAGGTGTGTCAATCTGATTTCCAAGCACTGCAAAGTAATTGATCAAACACGAGTAAAGTGTTTAATGTGATATCCAAACAACGAGAAGTGATATATCACTGAAACACGAAGAGTGTTTTATCTGATATCCGAGCACTGAGAAATAATGTATCAAACGTGAGAAGTGTTTCATTAGATATCCAAATAACGAGAAGCAATATATCAAACGCGAGGAGTGTTTCATCTGATATCCAAACGTCGAGAAGTAATATATCAAACGCGAGGAGTGTTTTATCTGATATCCAAACGTCGAGAAGTAATATATCAAACGCGAGGAGTGTTTTATCTGATATCCAGACGTCGAGAAGTAATGTATCAAACACAAGGAGTGTTTTATCTGATATCCAAACACTGAGAAGTAATATATCAAACAGGAGGAGTGTTTTATTTGGTATCCAAACACTGAGACAAATATATCAATCCCGAGAAGGAGTGTATCATCTGATATCCAAACATCGAGAAGTAATATATCAAACACGAGAGAGAGTGTTTCGCTAGATATCTAAACACTGAGAAGTAATATATCAAACGCGAGAAGAAGTGTTTCATTTGATATCCAAATACTGAGAAAAATACGTCAAACACGAGAAGATGTGTTTCATCTGATATCCAAACGCCGTGAAGAGGATCAAAAACTTAGAGGAAGGCCAGTGCCTTTTTTTTTAGTGAATATAAAAGTGCGTTTCTCATTGTAATGTTTATTTGTCTGTTTTTAGGCTCAAATATTCTGTATTGGTAATCCATTTGTTTGGTGGGCAACCACGCTGTCTATTCCTATCTACTTTGGCCTTTTAGCTTTCTATTTATTACGGAGAAGAAGGAAAGTTCATGATATATCGGAAGGTATGTTTATAGAGAGGTCTTTTATCTAGGCTGTTATTTGAAATACCTCTGAATTCATTCTCGCAATCTCAGGGTTCGCACAGTCTTGGAAAGTCCTTGAATTTTAGGGGAAATCCTTGAAAAGTCCTTGAATGTTCTTCAACTTTGAATGTAGTGATCTAGAAAGTGTTTTTTTTTAGTACTTTTTGGTTGTCCACGACAGAATGTAAATCATAGCTCAGAGAAGTTAAAGGTGATTTACATAAAGCGTTTTTTTTGTTTTATGCAATAATTAACTACAAAAATGAAGACAATTGAACAGAAATATAGAGAAGTTGGTGGAGCAAATAGTTTAATCCTTCCTGATAGAATGGGGTCCTTGAAAAGTCCCTAAAAAGGTGCGCATTTTTTGTGTGAACCCTGAATCTTCTTTCTCTTTGTTTTGCCAGATTCATGGCGGCAGTTTGTGTTCGTCGGCGAAGCAGTGGTTTTAGGATATTTTCTTCACTTCGTTACCTTTTTTCCTATGGACAGAACGCTTTTCATACATCATTATCTTCCCGCTTTGATATTTAAAGTCATTCTTTTACCAGTGATGTTGCAGCATGTTCATCGTGAAGTCTTCAAGTAAGTTTCGCTGGCTTCCCACGCCGTCGCAAAATTCCCTTTCGTAAACGGTCGCTGCCATTTGTAAGACACTTAGAAAATTTTTCACCTGTTATTGAGAGAGTTTCTATTTAAAAGAAATAAGGCCGCAACCCAGAGTGGAAATCTGGACCTGTCATATCCTAATCTCTCTCCCTTACCACTACACTACCACACCGACCCGACAAGATTCCGAAAAAGCTAAGTACATAAACTAGCAAACTGTCTTTCTTAACTGATACATCAGTAACAGGTGATACTTACCCTTTCTGTAATGTTTAACGTGAATTCAACTTGGGCTTTAACGTCCTTCTTTCTAAAACTATTCAAAACGTATTTTTTTGCCTTATTGTAACTTCATCCAGGGAATGTAATATGTGTATCATGACCAAAGACCTGGTTTCAAATGGTGGCATCGATCGTTAAAGATGGCAACGACCGTTTACGAAAAGGAAATAGGCTACACCTTCTGCCAACCACAGCCGTGAACTACTCTCATGCCGTTCTTGCCTAGTCTGTGTACGGCATTTTCCCAGGCCTTCTCGGTCAATCTACAAATCTGAACTTCCAGCTGATAAATAAACTATCGCGGATCAGTCCACACGAAGTTTTACAGTCGTGATCGATTAATACAGTCTATCATTTATTAGTGAAGGTGGAGGGCAGGGGGCTTAAAAGAGCCCGGGGGGGTGGTATTAACATTCTTTCCCTGAAAGAGAGAGGCTGCTTAATAGAGGATTTACGGTATTCAGGGTAGTTAAGCAGCTGCTAACTAGTTATATTATGCTTCACTGACACTACCTCGGTTTTGATTGGCTACTCACCTTCAACTCATTAATGCTGGCGCTGTTTTCTTCACGTCATACCTACAGACAATAGTGATGGAAGTGACGTCATTTGGTAGTCAATAGCTTTACTCGCGCGAAAACTACGTTTCTTTTTCTTAAGGTTTACAGGAATGTTTGTACAAAGGTACATCAAAACGGGTCTGGATTCATTCAAAAGTTAAATTTGATCTTTAAAACATATACTTCAGGGTGGGCTCTTGTAAAATTATGCAGAAAGAGTTTCTGTACCTTTCGGTTGCAAGCTGCAACCAGTTGCAAAGTACTTGAGACACTGTACCGTATTTTGGCTTAAATGGCTTGTCCATGATCTTGTGCTTGTGACCCCCCCTCCACCCCTTTTCAAAGTTGCTAGCAATACAAGACCATGCTCAAAACTTGGAGGAACAACTTTGAATGGGGGAGGGGGAAGGTCAGTATTTTATCTCACAGACCTGTAACTAGCAGCGATTTGAAGCAAGACAGGTTGTTTTTTTGTGAGAGTGTCTCAACATTTTTGCAACTGGTTGTAGCTCAAGCTTGCGATTAAAGTTACTTAAAGTTACGTTGATGTAGCGTGTTTGACGCGCCCTTGTTTTTGCAAACGCTTACGTTTTCGCAAAGTAAAACAATTGCTGAAATCGGTTTTGGCACTATAGCGAGAATTATCGAGGCCTTAGTTTGTGTTGTCCGCCTCAGCCTTTGGCCCAAGCAGATGACATTAACCTCAGCCATGACAATTCTAGTTACCATGCTTAAGCTCATCCAGTAATTGTTAATTTTCTCTCAGATTTAAAGCACTTCAATGGATGATGTACGCAGGATGTATTTTGTTGGTTATTATTGTACTGTGGGGATTTCATCTATTCAGCCCTTTTACGTACGGCCACGTGGCTCTTCCCTCGGCGGAAATCAACCAACGGAAGTGGATTAAAACGTGGGACATGCTCTCTCACCCGAACACGTGACACAGCTCACAATTTCACTCGTACCGGTCTCGCGTGGAAACACATCAAAGAGTCTTAAGATGAAGAACATGGAGGACCTGCCCCCATTGAGAAAAATGGGAAATACTGTCCTGTGTTTTGAGAACATTCTCTCTTTCCCAGATTCAGACCATTTCTTTAATGTTGATCCAATATCCGGATCTGAGGTGAATTCTTTGTGAAACATCTAATGCACTCTCTTCCACAGTATCTTTATAATTCTTGTATGGATTTTTTTGTCCAAGTTTTGCAAAATTTTGCGTACAGCTTTAGTACACTTAGGGTTCTGAAAGGGTCAAAGAGACGAATGAAGCCTAGGATTAGTCATCTTTGTTGGAGTAACACTATCCCAGATCATGAAAAGCCGAGCGTTGTGGCTTCTATGGAATAGCAACAACACCGCCAGTCAGACGGTAGGGATTGAGTACTTACTTAGAAGGGGTTAGTTTCGTTGCCAATTGTCCAACCTTTTCCTTTGAAATGTTTGTGTGTAGTTTAAGCCCGCTCTCTATCGAGCTTTTATCTTGGTGTACTGTTTGTGGGTAGTTTCTAGTGTGATGGTCCTCTTGGTAGCTTCCTACCTATATCCAGGCGCCGGTAGTTCAAATGTTGGATAGTATCTGGTGACTAGGAGTTAGGAAAATAGATAGTGTTTTATCCACTAGATATCACTGTCAACCTTTTGAACGAAGGTTGACATACTGCTGCCGAGCGCGAAAAGAGGGAATGACTTTTTAAAACGCATTCCAATAAGAAATATCAGGATGAAATATTCTTTAAAGATCACATTAGTCAGATTATGATATATGTACCCTTTTGTTTGTGAAGAATACATATTTAAGAAAATCTGCCCTACAATGATGTGTATTTTAGCGTTATTTTTTAAACATTAATTTTATGTATATATATTTAATAAATGGAAAGGACTTTTTGGGCTCCCTGTTGGTCTTGTCCATGCTTTTAACCTGGTCTGTTCTTAGAGAGAATTGCGGCTTTCTGCATTTGCATTTCTGTGATTCTTTCCCATTTGCTTATAATCAGCTGAACCACAATGGGTCCTTCAAGGACCCATTTGTTTTACTAAAAAAATTGAGTGATCAAGCCATACTCGAACTTGCTGACAATCACTGAAATTATCTGCAGTATCTTCCTATCAACAAAAGCCTTTCATTCTGTCAATCACCAGATACTCCTACAAAAATTACCCAGATATGGAATCCGTGGTTTTCCTATACTGGGGGGTGGGGGAGGGGGTTCAAGCGTTTTCTAGTATATAGATCTCGTATGGTGAACTTGAAACTCGTGTACATTCTAATACTTGTATGCTGTACCCTAGGGTTCCCCCTTAGGCCCATTTCTGCTCTTATTGTTTTTAATTAGTATCGGCACTGGAAGAAGGGCTAATAAACTTGTATGAAACTCAAGGGCAATAATTTTATGCCGAAAACAGTGGAAGGTTGAAGCTAGATTTTGGTCGAATCAACTTCGCTCGTTGATTCAAAACACGCCCATAAAAACAAAGTGTTCGACCGCTCAGGCGAAACATTTGACCGTTTATCTGTATAGACTACAAGCAAACGGAAACAGAATGAAATAGATTATGCATTAAGTCAATGAATAAGTTACACATGGTATGCTCACACCTTTCTTTTAATAAATTTCGAGAAATGTTCCGTACTGTACATCTTTTGAGATTAAAGCACTGCAGTCCAAAGCCAGTGAGCAAGCTCTCCGTCTCGAATTGCAGAGGGAAAGGGGATTTTCGTTTTGCGACAATCACGTACGCGTGACCTTTAAGCCTGGAGGGGGGGTACTGCGTCTGCCATATATGGGCTTTACAGGTATGTGCCGCTGTGAAGGGTATGGTTTTCAAGCAGTTGACTCTAGGATAGGGTATATAAATCAGAGCGTTTGGGTCTAGAATAGGGGATCATTTTTCAGGAAACTGATCAGTTGGTTGAAGATTTTATCTAGACTAGGGAAACAGCTACGCTACGATAGGGGGGATTTGGGGAGTTTACTCTAGTATAGGGTAGCAAAATTTAGCTGAACTAGCTCAGGTAGAGGTTAAGGGTTCCAGGGTCCCAGCGGCACATCCCCACCCAGAAATTCCTAAAGTACCCCCCCCCCCCAACCCGGGCCTTTACGATGGTCCTCCTTGAAGAGCTTGCTCGCAGTCTAGCGCAATGCACAAAATAAATTACACAATCCATTTCACAAAGCTAGGATACCTAATTTGCATGACAAGAACAATTTTTTAGCGTTCTTTAAATCTCTTCCCATTCAAGCACCGCTATTTATAAAGGACTACTAGGATAGCCCATCAAAAATTTTCAGGATTTTCTATGCATTTGTATGCTTAACAGAATCAAGATTCCTGGCTGTCACCAATACAGCCTATCTATGGACTTTAAAATTACAAATTTTACCAACTGGGAAGTCATTTAAAGGAGCTGTGTCAAAATATTTAACCAAATGCGGCAATTGAGCAGAACACACAGAAAATGGAAAGGGGGCACGGATTGGTAAAATTGAAGAAGATTGAATGGACTGTAATTGGGGTTTTTGAAAACTGTCCAGCCGAACGGTTTTTCAGAATTTATCTCTGTTTTCTTATATAAATAAAAATGTAACACCAGGGACACATTTTTTTTATCAGGAAGCTGTGATTTAATCACTAGCGTTAACTTCCACAGCGGATAAATAAAGGTAATAATTGCAAAAAAATGAACGGGACTCCAATGACACAGCCTCTTTAAAAGAAAACTTCAAACCACAACGTCTTCCAGGATGTTTAGGGCACTTTTCAAGGTAATCTACATAACTGGGGTTATCCCAACGAGATAAAATAAGAGGAAAATAATTCGTCTACCCAAACCTAATGCCCCGCTTCTCGAGCGACCAAATAGCGCCCGTTCTGCAAGGCACCAACAAGTTAGTGTGGTTTTGTAAATTGAAACGACTAGAAAAATTTCCAAACCCCAAGCCCTCTCCCCCCTCCCCCACCCCTCGCACCCCACACCCGGATGGGATGAAGGTTAGTCTCGAGGTAATCACCAGCTGGGAGAATGTCGCCGGTATCCACAAATACTTTCGCCGTGGGAAACGAGGTGGAATGAAGTCCCTTGTTCAAGAAATTCTGTTTGCATGACCGATGCGAAGTAGCAATCATAGGCCATCTTTGACACTCATGCCATTCGCTGTTTCCTTAATCAGAGTCGGAATCCGAGTCTGTCCAAACAATTATACTGAATTCTCCTCCTGTTCTTTCTTCTTCGAGAGCTTCCAGAAAATCCCACAATCTGACGACATAAGAAGAAGGGGTTATAAAATAATGATAAAACAACGCATCCAAAAAGAGTATCGGCGTGGAAATAAACTGGCTTTGAAAGCACTTCAACACATGGTTACAGCTATTGACTGGATAAATCCCTCTCCAGTGGATAGATATTAGGAAAGCAGTTGCTTTATCCAGTGGATAGTGACTTAGTCGGTTTATGGAGTTACAAAGAAATGGGCGCGAAATTCGCTACATAGAGAAGGAAGCAAAGATTCTCTTTTGCATTAGAATGTTGGAGTAATCCTGTCTTTCACAAGGTTATCGTAGACCAGAGGCCTACTTCTAGGACCTCTAGGACCTCTTGCAATTTTACCCAATTCAAATCTCCCGGGGATAACATTCATGCATTTGCATTATAATGGGGACATTTAAATGCGATCGGACAAAAAAAGGGTTTGACGGCCGAGGCTATTTTAGCCTTTTTGCGATCGGACAAAAGCGACGGCCGAGCGTTTTCTCACGAGTGACGTCACGGCGGCCATATTGATGTTCCAAAAACAATGAAACGGCGGCCATGTTGGTTTACCAAGACAATCCTCTGGGAGTTGAATTCTTTTCTTATGTAAACGCTTTCTTTTGTTCCTATAAATTAGCATAGATGCTGGCCACGTTAGTGAAAACGTTCTATAGGTTAAACAAGCACAACAACAACTCTGCACGTGCATCACGCTTTTTTTGTACATCTCTTTACCGCCACAGCACGACTACGACGTGAAAATGCCTAATTTCTCGTTTTATGGAGGACGTAAAGAAGCCACCACGAAGTTTACTTTCTCTTTCTGAACTTGGATATGGTTCATAGGAATTCAACTCCAGGAGAGTTCGCCTACATTTGACAAAGTAAGTGAAATGGAATACTCGCATTTAGATTGAAATAACACGTTTTTACTTTTTGAGCGACGTTTTCGATACCGTCGCTGTCCTTGAATCTTACGTTCCCTATTGTAGAGTTCAGGCCCTAGCTGTTTTAACATTGGATAACGCTATCCACCGGATAAGTCACTATCCAGCGGATAAGTATTAGGAGAAACAATTGCGTTATCCCGTGGATAGCCTTATCCGCCTTTTGAAAAACTGGAACCAGTGCGTTATTGGTATGGGAAGGAGAACCGATTCTTCGTTTGCAGCCACGTGACAAGGCGGCCAGTTTGGGGGTCAATACAGTAGAAATTTTTCTCTAAGAATTTACATGAAAAAACAATTTAGTTCCCAGAGGAGAGAAATGCCTTTGTTCTTGACCATCAACATGGCTGCCGTGACGTCACGTACAAACCAGCAATTAAGAAGGAAGATGAGAGCGGTCTGCTCACAACATGTCACCAGCTATTTTGCTTAATACTCGGAGTTTGACGTTTTTAACTAACCTGTACGTTTCTATGATTTTTGTGTCTCCTCGAGAAGTATTACAATGCCTCAACTTCACTTCTTCGATTCTTCCATCTGGATAAGCTGAAAATGAAAAGGGCCTTGTCACAGCTGTGTAATTCATTTTGTAAATTTGACTGTTACCCGAGAAACGGGATTCACCAAAATTTCGTGCACGGGATGGGGGATCGAAAAAGCCAATCTACATCTTAGAGTTATTAGCTTTAACAGCAATTAGTCTTTTTTAGCGTATGTATTTTGACGTAAAAAAAAAAAAAGAAAAGAAAAACGGTATTCGGGAAAGTGATAAAAAAAAGTGCGGGATGCGGGATCAGGAAATCCCCGTCCAGACTCTTACGTGACAGACAAAAGAATAGAGGTTAAGCATGACGTTTACATCAAACGACAAACGAATTGCATCTAGCGACACGGTGTAGTCACGCAATAGGGAGGGGCGGCGTTGCGTGACGACACTAGGGAGCTTAACAAACTACGACGACAACATCGACGACTTCAAAAAAACAGTAGGTTTAATGATCAAAACAACAGCTCTGCACGTGCATCACGCTTTTTAGTACATTGCTTTGACGTCCACTGCACGACTACGACGTGAAACTTCCTAATTTGACGTTTTATGGAGGACGTGGACATACGACGACGAATTTTCCTTCCTCTTTTTGAACTTGATTTCAACAGGAAAAGTCGCCATTTCACATATTGAGCGGGTCCAAATCTATTCATTTTTTAGGGACGCACTGCCGTCGTCGACGTCGCACGTTTACTAGAGATATCCATGTTTATGTACGGCACGTTTCTTACCATGTTTATAGAAGCAACTGGATCCAAACGGACATGTCCCCGTTCCTTGCGCAAAATATCTACAAGGCTTTTCCCTGCAAAACGAAGATACAGCTAGTTTCCAAAATCCATATACTGCTACAACAAAATTGGCCAATCTTTGCCGACGTCAATGTTTACATTTTTCCTCATTAGCATACGACTTAACTCATAGAAGCCCTGCGCGTATATACGAACTAAATTCAAAAGCTGAAAGAGCTGATAAACTTGAGCAATTTGTGCATTTTTCAGCTCTTTGCAACAAATAAATATTGAAGGAAATATCAGCCAGCGGAAACTGCGAAATTGCTGGGTGGCGAAAATGTAAATGAGCCACACATCTTTGTAAAATTTCGAGTTTTCCAAAAGAGAATTTCTCCGAAACCATTGGGTATATCGGACTCAAATTTTAAGAGACAACTGAAATTGTTCTGCTCTTTCAATATTCAGATGTTTTAAACATGATTTTATTAGCCTCATCAGATAATTATGAGCATATGTTAATGAGACAAAAAAAATGAACAAAGAGATTCGTCTATGACAAACAGTCCAAAACGCTTGTGATTGCAGTATGCACAGGCTGCCAGTTGAAATTCTCACTACCTCGCCCAATTAATAACAAATAATTACGTCACTAAACCGACCTCAATTTCTTAGAAAAAACAACATCTTAGAAACAACAACATCAACCAATAAACAGGCCACTTACTTCAAAGCTGCTTTATAACCGCCAATAAGCTTCTTTTTCTCTGCTGGATCTTCGACCCATATCTCACTCTAGAATATACAAACGCCAATCCCTTTTAGTTGAGTTATACCATAAGAATTAGGAACGGTGTTGGAACGGTACCACTTTCCTATTTCGAAGTCCAGGCTAGCGTGCCACGTACAGAAATGCTACAGGTGACACCTTTAATGAAACGGCTGCTTAAAAACTTATTGACTGCCCTGCTTGTAACTGATATAAACCTTGAAGTTTGTATACAGCTATTTCAAAAAACGTTACGACCCTAACATAATGTGCAGGGACATACGTAAAACGGCCTCTACAGTCTACTCCATGTACCTCATGCCCTGCGGCCCAACACTTCCTTTATCAGTGCAGGAATTGCAAGTCATTAGAAAAATCACATACCACCTTGCAGTCGTGGCTTAAAGGCTTTTTACTTTTCTTCCAACAACGTTTTTTGAAATAGTTGTATGTAAATGTAGATATGTAAGGAAAAAGAAGACTAGCCAATAACTTAACGTCACCTCTTAAGAAACGATCACCTAAACTGAGAAAAGTACTCTTAAGCACAACGAGCACTTTCTTGCCCAGTTTCTGGTGGTCCGGCCGGGAGTGAACTCACGACCTCCCGCTCAGCAGGACGGGCTCTCATCCGAGTGACGAGCGAGTTGCATTATGATATTGTACAAAAAGAATCTGATTTAAGCAACGCAGTCCCTATTAATTGAGCCAGCTTCACGTGACTTAAACGCATGTTAATGACGTCACGCAACTTGGGTGGTTAAAATAAACAAAACATGGTCCGTGTTTGTTCAGCAGGAAAGCTGATGTCACTCAAAAGAGTAACGAATTTCTTTTGAGGAAAATCCTTTAAACGATGGCTCTTTCAATGGCTAGGCAATTGAAAAAGAAACCGCGAAAGAGGAATGGCTTACCGGAGTGACAAATGCAGAAGGTACTCGACAAATAGGGCATGTTCTAAGGAAGGAAAAAACATAACGAGAATTATCTTCTAATATCACTAGAAGAATGCTAATTTCAATTAAGATTTCTTTGATCTCTTTTTAACGATCCTGGTTGTACAACAAAACTGACTTCAACCTAATGGTTGCCTCTACTTCACAGCGTATCAGCGTATATTTGAAATACTACAAAACAGATGAGACGCCATATTTTTTTATTAGACGGACTAAATTCACCATTTTCACACTGCCCATAATACGCGTAACCTTGTTTACCCCCCAACAATTTTCATAATCATTGCCTCCAATTTCTCCCGGGTATTACAGTCGTCCCAAGGAAAATTAACGACAACGCAGGGGCGGCGGGGGGGAATGGGGGGGGGAGATTAAATAAGGTGTATCATGGTTTGCCAAGTCCCTCCACGGTGTCTTTCCAGGCCCTCTCGGTCAATGCTTTTTGGTGACGTATCCGAGACTACGGCCGGGAGAAACACAAATCGCTCGGCCCACGTGACCTGAAAGGCATGGGCCGCGCGGAAAAATGAGGCCTGGGGACAAGGAAATAACATGGTGATGGTGAATAGTTACACATCAATTAAAAGCTTGAGCTTGGATTGTTCCAAGGACATCTTACGAGGACCGTCTTCAAAGGTTAAAAGTCAGAGTTCATTCCGCAACGAAAACTGGACCTCTGATCATTAACACGTATCGCGTGTGTCCCTGCGAAAACAGCCGTTTCTCCTCGCCATTCGCCGCTGAGGACGTTTCGCGAGGCAGGTTAGTGTGTCGAAAACTTAGCTTCTACAAGTCTGAAAAGAGTGGACAATCGGCACCATCTTTTTACGGTCAAGAGGGTGGGATCTACGAGGGAGTTCCCCGCTGTTTTTCAACTGAGCTGCTAGGATCCATCTAAGTATAATTACCTGACAACCTTGTTTGTTGATAGAGATGTGTTTCTCCAGCGACGAATACACGACAAACAGAAAGCATGGTTACAGTCAGCTAAAACAAAAGAATAACTACCTTTAGTCAGATTTCGTAACTCCCAGGAAATGGGTGAACCAGGAAACACTGATCTTGCAACATTATATTGTTGCAGAAGCAAATATTTCCAACTTTTACTTCGCGAAAATTGAATGTTGCGATTCCAGGGCGAAACAGTAATTAGTTAATTCACACTTCCTGTACGCAAATTTTGCTTCCAATGAAATGTTTCCTGGTTTAGTCACATAAGAAGAAACAATGTTTCTGCAGCAACATTATTTAGTTTAGCCAGTAACCAACAAATTCAGAAGAGACAGTCCTGCTTTTTTTGTTGTTTTCTTTTTTTTGGTTGGGATAGTACTCCTAACAAAAATTAGTGTTCCAGTGATTCTTCTTTTGACACAAGTTTCAGGTTTTTGAGGGCATTTTTCTGCAAAGGGAATTGCTTTCAATACAAAAACGTACAACCGTTATATTCAGCAAAGTCTACTCCACTCGTTGAAGCGTGCCAAGATTTATAGAAGGGGATACTTCCCTTCCACAACACCATACATGACTCGCTTCTCTCGTATTTAATCCCTCTATCTTAAATCAAAAAAACCGCTGTACAATACCACAAAACTACTAACTTAGAATTCCAAATCTCTGTTCACTTGGGATTTCTTTTGACCGCACTACCTCTAAACAGATTCCACAAGCCACACCCTCGCTCCTGCAACAAAGCAAAAAAGAAAACAAAACCTTTTTAACATAACAAGTTAAATCAAAGGGCGCACTGAGATAAATTGCGAATGCTAAGCATGTATAGCGGCTTGTCTCTGTACAAAAAAAAAATCTTTTAAATTACAGTTTCAACTGATCGCCAAATTTGTTTTTAAATTTTATTTTTACTTTAAATTTATTTAGGAGGTGCTTATTTTTAAAGAAAACAATCGCAAAAATTTTTAAAGCAGTTTTTGGGTGTCCACTATTTCTTTTATTTATAATAAACAAAAATTATACTCATCTGAAGAACGGTTTTTGACCCGGGCTTAACAGATAAGCAACATTTACACTTAAATTGGTAATTAAAAATAAATTAATTACATCTGTTCAGTAAATCATCACATTCTAATACCGTTCTGTGTGAAGAAAGGATGATTCTGCGGATTTTCGAGACGTTGCGTTTTGAAAACAGAACGTGCATATGAACTGAGATAAGTTAATGACCCTGTCTAGCAAAAATCAACTTTTTTTAGACTTCATTGGCTAGGTGTGGGAATCAGATACGGTTAACTCTAATCAAAACCAAAGGCGTTAACAATATTACTTACAAACACATCAGGGTCGTCACTAAGATTTCAAGTTGCCGGGTAAATACAACAAGTAGGCGGGGAATCAAACGGCCAGGGATTTCTTTTGGTTCTATTTTTCTTCTAGTTTCCAATAAAAGTAGCCGGGGGCCATTCTTTTAGTAGCCGGGGAAAATCCCCAGCCCCCGGCTCTTAATGACAACCCTGCACATAAAGTAATTTTTACCTTTGGACCGCAAAGGAGTGTTCCATGTCTTTTTCATGGCTCTCAACACAAAACTGATGATGTTCTACACAACAAAATGAAATGCAATTAGTATCATTCCAACTCAGATTTTGTGTATGTAATATCTGAGCATTCAGTAACCAAACCCTCATGAGAATTAAAGAAATCACCTTAAAAGAGTTAAGTAAATAGGGTGATAAGGAAGACCCTAACCTTGTTGCTGTGTTGTGTCATATGGGTGAAGGCATCTGTTACCACAATATTCGCATTCTAAACCATGTAAATAACTGCAACTATTAAAAGATCACAATGCACAAAAAAGGCAATTTCAGCTCTCTTAAAAACTAGCTGGCTAAAGATTTGACTGAATAACTATAATTACTAATCAAAGTAAACCCATGGATAATTGTTTAGAAAATCCTATTGCCCCCTTAGTCCCACATCTTTGACATCAGAGCTTTTGCGCCGCTATATTTCAACCACAAACTAAGCACACCAAATAACTACCTGCTGGTAAGGCCACTACTAGTAGAACTACTTGGGAAGCAACTGACTTTTTTGTGCTACATTTTCAAAATTAAAACTACTGATAGAAGGCACAGGTTGTCCATTTAAATGCCTTGATAAATTCCCAAGCTCAATATGATTACCGGCTATGGGTGCAATTGTATGCTACTCATTTTAAGCAAAAAGATTACCGAGAACTATAATTCTTATTATGCAGACAGTACTAATACAAATAACATTTCAGCAAAAAATAAGTAAGAAACAAAAATATTTTAAAAAATAGTATTCAATTTAATTTATGAGTCAAAGCATAACCTTTACCATGATACTTGACACAAGTTTAGGGCACAGAAATCTCAGTCGAGGAAAGGCATTAACGTCTTGGAATTTCACCATCCCTAGGCATAATATAATTAGCTAGTTTTTTAGTGTAAAACACCTTTGAAAGAAACTTTATGGACCCGACTAGTACAATCCATATTTCAACTACTGGAGCCCCCGCTAGAGACTGCGAAGTTTTGGGGATAAACAATACCACACTAAACGCGTGATTTAACAGCAACATTCTTCCTCTGTCATCTTACTGGAAATTTAAACCACCCCATTACTTATGATCGAGATACTTGTTGTTAATGAGTAGCAAAATAAATCTCTTTTGTTACCTTTCTTCCAAAGGGCAAACTCCTACTGCTGCAGCAAATGGACAGAGCTGACAAGTGCAGAGAGGAGATCATCAGTTTTGGCCTAGTTAAGTAACTTTTGCTTTAGCAAAATATAGCACGCAATTATTTTAGCATGAGAATGCTTTTTTTCGTTTCTGGTTAAAATTATATTAAGTCTTACAGTTTGATGAGGATATTCAAATTATTTCAATAAAGGTTGCTTTACCAGCTTTGGTCTTTGAAAGCCATTGTTTGGTGGTGTTCCATTGCCTTGTATAATTTGATGAGGATATTCAATATAACCACACCATGAAGAATATGGACCTTTCCCATATTCCGCTACCATGAGCAAACATATAGAAATGACGTTGAGGCTCGGGTGGAAATTTTCATACAAATAACCGTATTTGTCTGCTGGACCCAAGCCTTGAGTTGGTGCCTTTGTTGACAGGAATGTGGGAAAGAATAGAGTCAAACCTTTATCAAGTGACCGTCCCCAGGGAAGGGACAACTGGTTGCTGAGGTTGACCACTTAATTAACAGAGATTCTGTTTTCAGTGATTTACTGGATATGTGTCTGCTGGGACTCTCATTAACTGGCCCCTAAATACATGTAGACAGTGGCCACCAAAAATAAAAGGGCTTACTATGCCACAAATCTAACTTTAAAAAACATCACACTCACCATTTGGGCAGCCTGTTCATCAGTAAGTTCATCTACAAACTCTACGCCACTCTGTGCAGCTGCAGAATATGATAAGGGACTGGAAACCTACATGATGAAAGAAGAGCTACTTACTGCTAACAGTATTATTCTGGCCCAGACTTAATAAAAACTCTCATTCTTTTCTTGACAATCTTGTTAATATGACTGGGATTTTATGCCAGGAAGCACAGTTTTGTAAGAATTCTTCTGACCAATACTGGTTGTATTAATGGGGTAAATCCATTGTAAACTCACTCCATTTAACGTGGGGCCAATTGCCATCTCCGCACTCTTTACAGTTTGTACGCCCTAACATCATTTAAAATTTCTTGACGAAGTTTGAAATCATGCTTGAAAGTTATTCAATCTACATATTTTTTTAAATCTCGAGACCAGTGATCAAACAACTGGTAATGGGATTTTCCTTTGCCCAATGTCCAGAATTGAGGTTCCATGGCCATAGCTAGCACTGCACACTTCGTCTTTGGGCCATAAATCCAGGAAGAAAAACCTAATCAACTTGGTATGTAATTTAAAGTACAGACTGAATGAGAACATGTTTATTAAGTGGTATTTACGTAAGTGTGCTGACCAGCTAAGCATCCCTAGATACAACAAACAATGTACATGCCAACTTGAAGTTTAACTAGTAGATTTAAACTTACTGGTTTTGGAGTATCAGTCTCTTTACCAGAGGAACTAATTCCTTGATAGGTTTGACCCTAGAGACAAAGAATTTATGATGGATTTCAAAATAATCTGGTTAAATAGATGATCATTCTCAAACAAAAGAGTAGAGGTATTGAGGAAAAAGGCTGCTGTACAACATAACACCTTAAATTATTGCTTACCGGAACAAACGCAGGTGCATCTGCCCAGTTTTTAGGATGTTTTTGCTTGTTCTTTGTAAGGGTAACCATCTGCAATGGAATTTAGTAAAATGGCTCGTAACAAAGATGGATCATCCAGAAAAAAAATTCAGAAAGACAGGCCCAGCCCCAGTTATTCACACGTTAGATAGAGCCATTCACTGGAGAAATCACTATCCAGTGGATAAGTATTAGGAAAAACGATTGCACTATCCACTGAATAGGATACTCTTATCCACCTTTTCAACAAGTAGAGCCAGGAGACTTACCAGCTTTATTATACATACTTTTTATTTATAGGCCAAAGAACTCTGATAGCATCTGCATCCAAAGAATTGAAAGACTCTAGACGACAGGTTTTACTCAGGGATGTCATTAAAATTTCAAGTTGCCAGGCTAATGATACAAGTAGACAGGGAATCCAACAACTAGGGATTTTGTTTGGTTCTATTTTTCTTCTATTTCCCTACAAAAGTAGGCGGGGGTCATCTTTATAGTAGCCGGGGAAAATCCCCAGCCCCTAGCCCTTAATGACAGCCCTGTTACTAAAAATGCTTTTAAGTTAACACAATTTCAAACAAAAGGTCTGCCCTCCTCTAAATCATCCTAACCTGAGATCAGGCCCAATTTTAGCGGTTCTCATACATTCTCTCTTGTTTTGCCTTGTCCGCCGGAATATTATTACAAAGCGAAACTAAAATTGTGCCTGATCTCAGGTTAAAATCATCCATGATCATCTACACATAACAAACAAGGAGGACCCTGCATGGTGGAGGAAGTTAGAACAAGATGATACTTCCAAAATTAAAACTGGTCATGCAATGCTTTGTCTGAATGTGATCATTCTAAATTGGCTACTCAATCTCAACAATGGTCATTTCATCAATAGTAATTGTTGCAACTACAATTTCTTTGGAAATAACCAGTGACTTAATACATGTTATTGCGATCGTACATCACGGTTGGGATTGTTAACATGGTGCCATTAACAATGCAATTATTGCACATTCAATGGACACTTTTTCCCAATTATTTCAACAACAGCCTGACCCAAAAAGCCTTAAAAGAAATTTTCTGTGACATGTGACCATGCTATACTGCTTGTATATTATATGGCTAGACAATTGGTATATAATATTCTTATTTTTAGTACCTTATGGTTCTCTTTATTTTCCTCTCTGTTTCGTGGTAATAAAGGTACTGGCTTAGGGCCAGAAGCACTCTTTGTCCTGTACAAATAGAAGACATTGTAGTAACATAGTCCCTCCAACAAAGAGAAACTAGTATCATATGTAGCTCTATGTCTATATGTCTGCTCAAATGGTGATGCATTTGCAAAGCAAAACATTGTTGGTGTTGCTAATAAGTACTATTATACATTGTACTCATCAGCACAACCTACAGATACTGACTAATCTGTACATTGCAGGCACGATGCATGAATTCCAATAGCAATATCAATTCAGGTTCCTTGCAACGCTGTGTTTGTCATTATTTTCTTCAAAACAATGTATAGTAAAACAATTATTAGATTCAGGTTTGTGATACACTAATTTAATAATCAAGGTCTCGGTAAGTGTTATCAGCCTCGGCCTTTGGCTCGGCTAATACTTATGTCGACCTTAAAGGGGGGAATTTCATATATCCCATGATGCTTCGCGGCAAATTTGTCTCTTCTCTCCGCGGTGGAAAGAGCGTTCGAGGGTTTCGAGGGAGATTTTCAACGACCTGAATTTCAAGATGCAGCTCATCCAAGGTAAGTTTTAATGAGCCCTGTTAATCTTTGGTATCTTATTAATAATGTAAAATGGTCCCATGGTCATTTCACGCATTATTGCTCTCGTTTACGACCCCGTTAAGCCATGCTGTTTTAACTCGCAAGTGAATATTTATTTAGATGACTTTCAGTTATCGAGAACTGTCTTTATTCTAGCAAGGTTTTGCCCTAATAAATTATTTAAATCGGCGGACAAGGGCTGCTTGATACCAGTTCCAAGCTCCGACCTCTTTCGACCTCGCGATTTTTATGGGTTTGATCGTTTTGAAATATCGCATTTTCTACCCTTTCTCCACTAAGATTCAAGACGAAGGTTTCAATTTCTTTATGCTAAGTCCCGCGAAGATGGGACATTTTCTCTTGAATTCGCCCTTTTTTCGTTGATCAAAACACAAATATTATCTCTTGAGGGTATGATGAATGTTTAAATTCAATGGTTTATAGTTATTGAAGCTTTTTTGTCTCATTATTTTAGGTAAATTGGTTTCTCATGGTGGCTTCCGGTCGCAACCGCGCGTGGGGAACTTGAAATATACAGGGCAGCAAATGTCATGGAATAGCACGCCGTAGGACCTCAACCGGCGTATAAAACCTTTTAAGACATTTTTATAATTCTTTTAGGATCCATTGTAGTGAAGAAGTGGGTGTTTTTGTAAATGTATTGTGCATTTCTTAATAAAGCTTTTTTCTGTTTATGTTTGACAATGATGCTTAGCTCGTGTTGTGTTACGAAAAATATGGAGATGTCTTTGTTATTTTTATTGTTTGTTGGAGCTATTTCCCTGCTTTGAATTTTATCTCCGATAGACGTCACTTTGCTCTTTAACGGTCTCGGTATTTTCGACTACATAAGCCGAGCTTGTTGAAGTAAAAGCGTGTGCAGTCACTGCTGTACGGTTGATGTATTGCATCGATGAATTATTGAACTGACAATATGAACACCCTGATCACAAACAAGCAACGAAGAGAAATCTCACACCTAGAATATGTATTTATTTCAAGGCAAGTCGTGGAAATCGCCTGTTAATTCATGGAGAGCTTTGTCAACGCACGTTAAAACAGGACGTACTGAAGCAAAGACCTTCCTCGCTAGCCTCTAAGAACGTTTGTGTCGACTGCGTTGCTATCGTAAGTCTAGTTAACTCATAATCGGCGGGCAAAACACTCTCTTTGACTTAACAAGAGATATATTTGGAATAGTAAAACGAAAATCGTAAATAGATCGACACAGCAAAGGTACAGAAAGTTTTATTGGCAGAACAAGTCGCTTTCTACTGCTGTTCAACTGTCATGTCCTTGTTGAACTGATAGCATCATGTGCGTTCGGAAGCTTGATAATATAGTATGAAGCGATGCATCATGGGATATATGAAACTCCCCCCTTTGTCGACCTTGATTATTCCAGATATCACAAAAACCTCATTCAATAGTTGTTTAAAGTAAGTAATATTGTTACGTGCACGTTGCCTCCACAAAATTTGAAGTTTTTTTAATTTGCTAGGGCAGAAGGAAGAGAGATTCTGTGACAAGAAAGTATAAAGTTTTAATAAAAAGAGAGCAAATTTTTAGACATGGAAGGTCGGCATAACTGAGCCACATGATTTTTCAAATCTACTGAGAAAATAATACAATGTACAAACTGCAGAACAGAATGCACAGATCACATCTTAAGTTGCCAAACACCGCCAGGGTAGCTCAGTCTGGATAAGCGCCAGTCTACCGAGAAGGAAGCTGCTGGTTGCTGAGAGGGCATTTGCAAATGATTAGACTTTCTAGTCTTCTCGAATAAGGAAGACAAACTGCAATCCCTGTCTCACAACCATTGCACATATAAAACAATCTGTGGGACATTAAAGAATGGCACACACTGTTCGTAAAGAATAGGGGATGTAGTCCCCCGTTGAGAAGGTCTATCTCTCATGGGAGAAGAGACTGTTACAAGCCTGCAGTAATTGGCACCATACTGTTGCAGTTACCCTGCCAGCATTGGCGAACCTAAGTATATTATTTGTTGCATGTGATAAAAAAATAACATGAAGTGTCAATAAACCAAATGACTGTTTTTTAAAATTGCTGTCTCTGTAGAAGATAACAACAAAATTTCCATGGCAATTTTGCACTTAGAAATAATAGACATTACATAGAAACCTTGCAGATGGTGGCTTAACATGATCAAAACGGCAACTGCTTCCATAAGAACAGGCTCCTTGAAGGTAATACTTACAGACCTAAAGTTTGGGGAAAAATGCAAGTTAATAATCACCTTTTATCTGGGAATTTCAAGAAATCAGAGAAGTCAAATCAAAAAACAGGGAATCCCTACAAGCCAAGGGTCTAGGAATATGAGCTTATAAAAACTAGAGTATTTTATTAGAGTTCTGCCCAATCAATTTACTGTAAACGGAGTGAAAGATATTGTTTGTCATACCAAGGTCTTGGAATTCATCATATCATGTTCTATATACTGACAGGATCATGACAATAATTTCATATAAAATTGAGCCAATGTCTGCATATAATAGGGTAGGGGTCTAATAATATTAAAACCCAGGCTACAGTTCTAAGAACCTACCATGGAAGGTTTATCTTTTAAATCATGTGAATACTGACAATTTTCTCCTTCTCTGCAGACTCCATGCATGTAGTACCTTAATTGGGATAGACACAGTTATAGTATAAAGCCATGACTAAGACTGTTTCAAGACTGTGGGGAAGGAGTGCAATAGAGCCTGAGAGCATTGTGGTGAAAAACAAAAAGGTAGGGAAAAGGTGGATAGCTCATGAATAAAGCAATCTCTCCTCACCCCTCACCCCTGGGGACATTTTGTGGGAGAGACGTCTGTGTCTCAATGACAGAAATGCCATACTAATGATGTAAAGTCTGCCCAGAATCTGGTCAGGAGCTCTGATTGGTCGACATAGTAATATTATTAATCCCCTTAAAGCTATCCTTAATGACAGACAAGGATAAAAGATCACAAAGGTCAAATGAAAACCTGATGAATCTACTACAAAACAGTCATTATTTGTGGAATATATTCTTCTTCAGAAGAAACATCTGAGTTTTGCTACAGCTTGTTTGTAGAGGACTAGATCAGAAGAAACATAAACTCAAAAAATATTTACATCTGACACATTTGGAACCCCATGACAACCAGATTAATCATGAAAACACTGATTTATGTCATCAGTATGGCATTTCTGTCATTGACACACAGACATCTCTCCGGAAACATCCCAATCAGTGAGGAGCGAGTAGAGACGGCTGTATTCACAGGCTAAAAAGGGAAGGGATTCACCTTTATTTATTGCATTGCTTCACTTTGAAAGGTTATTATTAGATCCCATCGACCTTAGCCCCTTCGGACACCTCATGTAATTTACACAACATAGTTTTCCCCTTTACTAATTAGGGTTAAGCACTGGCTTTTACAGATTAGGGTTAAGCACTGGCTTTACTAAAGGGTTAAGGACTACCTTTACTGATTAGAGTTAAGCACTGTTTCAAAACTGGTTAGTCCTTTTTTGGGGGTTGGGGTTGATGCTTTATGTAGTTAAATTATTTCCCTGCCAGCCAACAAATCCTCAGTGGTCTAGTGGTTAGTGTGGTATACTGGGTGTCCTGGGTCATGGGTTCAAATCTTACTGTCTTTAACATCAAACATTTTTTTTCCTTTAAATTGAAGAAACTTGCACTTTCATGAACATTTCCAGCTTGAAATATCATCTAAGTGTGATATGTTCTACATTGTGTAAATTTCATAAGGGGAGAAAGGGGCTACGGCCAATGGGATCTAATGCTGACCACTTTGAAATGTATCTCTACCATCTAAATGGCTGGAACCAGAGGGGTGGAATCTCATTTGGGGGCCATTTTGGCATCAGTTAGGATGTTTTTCAGGGTCTTGAGCCTCAGACAGGGTATAGAATTTCGTTATTTAGTGTCTTGAACAGGGTTCTTTTTGGACCAGAAGCCTGTAAAGTGTGAAGGTTTTTAGAGGTGTGTAAAGGTTTGTAAAACCAAAACCAGTGATGGACCATGATCCAAGTGATATGAAATATGATAAATCCTGATCACAGACCATTATGTCGTTAATATATATTATAGGGTCAACCTCTCGATTTCCCCTTTCAAAAGGTATTTTATGTTTATTTCTTATCTCTTGAATAAAGTATTGTGATTGATTGAGTGATTATAATCACAATGAAACGCATCCAGTTAAATGACTTCCAAAGGGCAACCACAAAGAAGAAAACTGATTCTTTGGTGAGACGTGTGGGGAACTGTTTAAATTCACCAACACATTTAAAACGAGACTCGCATTGGACTTTAATTATCACAGCCTTGGAGAATATCAGGTATAAGCACACATTTATTGAACAACATTACCTGCAAAGGATCTGCTTTGTGGTGGATGAAGATAACCTTTAAAGAACAATGATCATGTTAATTATAAGCGACGAAATGAACAAAAGCCTTTTTGCTTCACTTACCCTTGATGGACAGCCATTCGTAAACTCTTAGCCGGCGTAGCAAGCGTTTCCAATGGCTAGTAAACTCTCATGGAAAGTGAGCAAATCGAGGAAATCAATTTACTTTGAGGATTTACCGCTGACCAAATTCGCAATGACTTGTGGGTATTTACTTGAAGCCATTAGTGCGCATGCTTGCCACGTCATCCAGCTGACATGAAGTACCACGGGCCAAAAACACCGGCAAATTTCGCAGACTGTCAGTGAGCGCAAGTTGTTTAGGTGGCAGCGGAGCAAAATGGGTGGAAAATTTCTCACACTTGTTCTGTTTTGTTCGGTTTTTGTTGCGGTATATGGTCACGACTCCCATCACGGACATAGCCACGAACATCACCATCATGGACATAGCCATCACGAACCCAGCCACGATCATCATCATCATCATCATCACGGACATAGCCATGATTTTGAAGACGAACATATTGATGAACATCCTGCTCGAAAATATCAACAAAAAGCAAATACCCCGAAACCAAGCAGTCATCCTTCGGCCAAAAAACCTGTTACCACTCAAGCCGCAAACGGAAAATGGACAAAATGGCTTCAGGCGATAGGAGCGACTTTGCTGATCAGTGCTGCCCCTTTCTTCATCCTATTTTTCATCCCACTACAAAGCAATACGGCTGACCAGCAGCCACTGTTGAAAGTACTTCTAGCTTTTGCTTCTGGAGGGCTCTTAGGAGATGCTTTTCTTCATCTGATCCCCCATGCGATTTCACCACATTCGCACCACGGCGATCACGAACACTCTCATTCTCACTCGCATGGTTCGCACGAAAGCGGTCATGATCATTCGTCCGAAATGGCTGTGGGTCTTTGGGTTTTAGCTGGCTTGATAGCCTTTCTAATGGTTGAAAAGTTTGTCAGGCTGGTCAAGGGAGGCCATGGCCATTCACATGGTGCCCCTAAAAACGACCACGATTCAAATTCTGTTAAGAACGGAGAGGTCGTAACAGAAAAAGACGGAGATGAGGTACCCGAAGAGAATGACAAGGAGTTGCGCGAAAGAAAAAAGACAGATGAAGTCGCTCAAAAGGAAATAAAAGCAAAAACTGCGTCGGGTGAGTTAAGATTTTTACTCCAAATCGAAGGCTACGTGGATATATGGAAGCCATTTGAAGTAGGTCACGTGTCGTAAATTTTTAATTTTGCTTTCCTAATAATTACGACGATTTCTTTCTGTTTTTGAAGACCCTTTTTAATCAGTTTGAAATATTATTTGACACGTAAGTGTTTCTCGTCGAATTTATTCAATTTGTACTGTGCGAATGTTTGTTTTCCCTAGATGAATTTCCACAACCACGGGTATCGGAAAAGCAACGAAGAAAATTGATTTCCGAGTCAGTGAGCCAGAAGAGTACTAGAAAATTTCTTGTTAATCCTAACAGCTGCTATTTTCCCATGAACTCATCTTTTAAAATCGCCGCGTTTTGGTGTATTTTTTCAGCTTTTACGAGAATTTTAAGGACTTCAAAGTAAACATACAGTGATCGAACAAAAAATTGTATGCAAATTTTGTCTCGTTGACGTGTCAATACGAAATTGATCCTCGTGCCTGAAAAAATACAACAGGGTAATTGTTTGGAAAAAAGGGGTTTTTTAGACATCTTAGACAGGATGCAAGTGTCAGGGTTGCTTGTTTATAAAGTTCATTTACTCTCAAGAATGTGAAAATTTTTCAGCTCATATTTTTAAAACAATTTTCATACAAAAAATTAGATTTATTGCGGTATAAACTTTGAAAGGCGCCAGAAAGACAATTCCTACCACCTCAGTTTTTTGACGTAGTTCTCTGGAAAAAAAACTTTCCTGATGCCCCCCTGGTTACCAGCTCGTTTAAGAAACAGCCTAAAATAATAAAAAAAATAACACCAATTTTGGCACAGCGGAAGGAGGGGTGGGGGGTTGGTGTATGAAAACGGAACATGCCCAAGAATGAATTAACTATTTCTTCCCCATAAGTGACCAAAATCATATTTCAATGAAATTTGCAAACTTTATTTCTGTTCAATGCTGATAAACATAAATAATACCATGGAGAGTACTGGGGTTTCATGTTTTTGAATGGTCACGCTGGCCCATAGTATCAATTTTTTTCATCAGCTTATAGTTACAGTTAACAAGAGACACCATTATTCATGGGAGTGAAGGCAGGAAAAAGTGATGATATTGAAGGAGAGAAAAAATGAGTTTTTAAAATCTCTGATAATAATTATCAAATTTAAAAAAGAATGAAAAATTATATTGCTTTTTCAATTATTGAAAAAGCAATATAATTTTTCATTCTTTTTTAAATTTGATCTCACTGTTCTGTGGTCGTCTTAACAACTATTCTTGCATCATGTAATTTGAAATAGATAAATTTTGAAATAGGAAGGATTTGAATGGAAGACTGTGGGTCTAGATCTGATGGTGAAATGATTAGTCTGTTGTTTCTGTGTAGTTCCACATGATCATGGCGATGATATAAAGGTGGCAGGCTACTTAAATCTTGCTGCAGATTTCACTCACAATTTTACTGATGGTCTAGCCATTGGAGCCTCATTTCTTGTGAGTCGTAATCTTGGTGTAATCACTACTTTTACGATCCTTCTTCATGAAGTTCCTCATGAGATTGGAGATTTTGCAATTCTTGTTCAGTCTGGTTGCAACAAGAGAAAGGTAGGCAGATTTGCTGTTGAATTCATCTGGCTTGCAGCCGTTATTAGTTGCAACTGAGGCAGTATTGCCTTGGCAAAACTTCTGAAATTTCTTAGTGCCTTCTTAAAATTAAAAAATATATTATTCAAGCATGCCGTAGGTGGTATATTCAGTTTAATGCTGCAATTTAGTAATTTTTAGTGTTTTTTGATGCGGCCTTTTTCAAATTCGCATTTCTTAAATCACTGACAACAATATGGTAAATCACTTGTAAGTATTGCGTAAAGCATAAAGATGTTTAAAGTTCCAATATATAGATACAGAAACCATATTAAATCCTCAGCTTTTGATCGTGATAATGATGACAAGAAGCCATTTGAAACACCAAGTTTCTGTATATCATCAATTATTGTTTTAAAATGAATCTGTAATCACTCAGAAAAATTCTTGACTTGTGATCACTACGTGCTTATTTCAGTGTGTTAAGTCTCTTACCTCAGAAAAAAAACTTCACTGTATGACACACTGAGCTTAAATTTTCTGGTTTTTATTATTAATTTCAGGCAATGTTACTTCAACTGACAACTGCAACTGGTGCCTTGGCTGGGACATTTTGTGGCCTACTTGCAGAAAACATTGGGGAGTCTGCTGCTACACTATGGATCCTACCGTTCACGGCAGGAGGTTTTATTTATATCGCCACAGTGTCTGTCATTCCTGAACTACTGGAGGACACCAAAATTGGCCAGACCATTAAAGAACTTGTTGGATTGTTTGTTGGGGTCTTGATGATGGTCCTAATTGCTAAGTTTGAGTAATTTTATTTTGCTGTGAATGTTGAGGGTAGCGTTGACATCTTGAGTTCAATCACTTTGGTCAATCCCACGGGACTTTCCTGTTTCTTGTTTTCATGGCTTTGGGAACAACATTCCCGATTATCTGAAAGCCAGAAGCTTGACATTTTTTAATCAAAGGTCAGACTTTACCTATATGAAAACATAACTAGGTAAGTCCGAGATGTCCCCAAGTGTTATACAGCCTGTAGAGTATTCAGTTGGTTGTATTTGGAAGAAGATTTCATGGAAAGATTAGTACAATAATATTATATTCCATGAACTTTGTCAATTGCAAGAGACTGCATTTGTTGGTTAATTACATTAGTTGGGAACGTAAGATTGAGATCCCATTCTACCACCCACTAAATACAGACAGCTACAGTAGTTGTTCCTGGTTCAGTACAGAACAGAACACCTTGTGATACCCTTAAAACTATCACAGTAATACTGATGTTTTTTGTTACTATTATAATAATGCTTGTTTGACTAAAGAGTTAGGAATATTTTTCTTGTAAAATTATATTCTCCTCAAAAATGAGGTAATAATTAAAAGTCTGTAATTATTAATTGTTTGATGAAATGTTTTAAGTTTATGTCGTTTCATTGTTATACGGGAAAATGTTTTTGTTATACAGAAAATCACAACATCCACAGGACAGCTTTGAGCTAATATGCTTTTTGTTAAGCTAAGTTGAGGATAACTAAACTGTATAAAAAGGGGAAAACTTATTTTTGAGAGATTTTACCACATTTGAATAAATATTGTACAAAAAGGAAATTACCCAGCCATAAGAAATCTTCTGTTTTGTACATTTTTTATGTATGTGCCATAAGTTATTTCAAAGTTCAAATTTCTAGGTCCTGATAGATATGTTTAAATGAAGTATTGGGTAGAATAATGACCCAAGTGGTCCCAAGAGGTTCCTGATCTAATGTTAAATTTTTGCTTTGACTCTCACAAGCATAAATAAGACAGATCATAAGGAAATCTAACAGTTAAACAAAGAGATGCATTCAGGTTGATGCTATAAAGTAAAAACCTTTGACTAAGAACCTGCATCTTAACAGGTTCCTGCATAAATGGTACTGTAAAATTCCGAAAATAAGCCCCGGGGCTTATATTTTTCAAAGGCCCTTTTTGAGGGCTTATATTCGGAGGGGCTTATCTATGGAGGGAAATTTGCGTTTCAAAATTGATTGGCCTAGCCTTATAGTTGGAAGCAAATTTACCGTTTTTGCTTTGTTTTGCTTTGAATTGGTTGATTTTGAGCTTCGCTTAAAATATTTAATTCGATGCGCACTGTATTTAGGTTATCGCATTAGAGTAGCTGTTGATTGATTTGTATGCCAGTATATATAGTAACGTCATGACAGAATTTGTCAGTTTATTAGCAGATCGTGATAGTTTGCAAAGTCGAATCTTTTCATTGTGTCCTGATGTCTCAATCCACATATTCTCTTCGTCCACGCAATCAACTAGACTACGCTTTATTGAATAGCGGAAAGCAATTACAGTTTCCAGTTTACGATATTTCTCCGCTCAAAGCCTCTCCCGACCCTAACGAAGACGGATTGAGCAGCAACAGGGACGCAGCGCCGGCCCCTCTGACATCGGATCCGGGAGAGGAGTTTATGGAGCTCCAAAAGCTACTAACTCAGGCGAAAGAGGAGAACGAGGCCCTGGAAAAAACATTTCAACTGGAGGCCATGCGTCAGGAGTTACAGGCGCTTCGTCTCCGCAACGAGCAACTCGACCGACGCCGTCATGCGACACCTTCCATTAATGGCGGTGCGAAGCTTCTTCGAGAAGACCCTAACCCAGCGCAAGTTCTTCAGGACTTGAGGTCCAAAAAATCCCTTTCCACCCGGGTGGACAAATTCCTGGCTACCCTGGAGGACTCATCTTCCGAGGAGGATAGTGACGGAAAAGACCACATTCCCGTTTCTAGAGGTAGGCGCCACACCTTGAAATCAGGGAAAGACAGTAAAATAACAAGCCGAGTTCTTTCCCCTCAGTTATGGCCCCACAGTCACCTTAGTTTATCGTACATCTCCAAAGAAAAGAAGTACGATGAGTTATCGCTAGCTGAATTTGCTGCTGGCTATGCCGCCATTCTTCAGCGCCCCACCCTGTCTCCCTCGGAACTTCGTGCACGCATCGACCATTTCGCAGCTTTGATGTACCTGGCCACTCAGTATACTTGGTCTTCAGTACACGATTTGCACGCCGCTGTACTTTTTGAGATAGAATGTGATAGAGCAAAGTGGGGTGATTCTTTTACTTATTTGGAATCTCGCATTTTACAATCACTGTCAAGATCTTCGCGTTCGGGAAGTGGAGCCCCACGCTCGGAAAATCCTGCGTCCGTATTCTTCTGTCGTGATTTTCAGCATGGCACCTGTAAACACCAGAAAGATCACTTTGGCACGCTTCGTGGTGAACGTAAATGGTTTCAGCACATTTGTGCCCGGTGCTGGGTCGACTCGCGGCTTATCGCACGTCATTCAGAGTTCGCTAAGGAGTGCCCCCTGTTCACAGATACCAGTAAACAGGGCAATTTTCCAAGTACAAGCGCCCGGGTGGCTTATATTTGGAGGGGCGATTTAACAGAGGGTTTTTTGCATTACCGGTTTGGGGGGCCTATATTTGGAGGGGCTTAGTTTCAGAATTTTACGGTAATTAAAAAAAGTGCATATTTAGACTATTTAGGTTCTTAAATAGGTTCTTACTCTCTGAGGAAAAAAATATATAGTGTAGCTAAGAGTATTTAGTGGTATTCAGCTTATTGAGTCCTTTTTCCTATTTACAATTTGCTTACTAATTTAAGTTAATTAGTATTGCAGTTGGAGTGATATTAAGGCACCTTTGTCTCCAAAGAGGATCCTGAAATTATGTTCACCAACTAAATTATCTTATTTGCCCAAGTGTACAGAATTCTTTTGATAGATTTTAGAAAATAAAAACCTGTTTCAAATTTTAGGCTAAACAGGTTCTTGTATAAAGGGTGCCGAACTGGCCAATTTTATCCTAACAGGTTCTTAAAAAGCAGGTTCTTAGTCGCAGGTTTTTACTGTATAGCAGAACCCTTCATTTCTTCTTTAAATATGGAGTACACTCAATTAATGTTTGTCTGTAGTTTCTGCAGCATCAATGTTTGGTAGTCAAAGGGGGTTAATTGTATAAAGAAGTGATGAATAACAATAGTATTTATTGTTATGCAATTTTTAACCTTAATCTTTACATTTTAAACAAATGTTTCAGAGGAGTTGACCTTTAGTTCTCCATAGTTTACATGATTTTGCAGAGTCCACCATTTTTAAAGCCTTCTTACCAAAACTTCATTTAGATGCTAATGGTTACTACCTTGGTTCTGAGGTTTTCTCCCTTGTCAGTTGTGGTACATTTTTCCATTTAGCAGGTTTCTGGGAAACTGCCCACTTACCCCTCCCCTAACCCAACATTTTGCCCCAAGTGAGACGTAAATGTTGATGTTGAGTTAGGGGAGGGGTAGGTGGGCAGTTTCCCAAAACCTAAATTGATCCCAAAATTCTTTAGGACAAGTCTGCCTTATGTATAATTTGTAGTCAATTTTTTATCTCAGTCAATTTTTATTTTTCCATTGTTTTTGGGTATGGTAATGTATGCTAATGAATTTGAAACAAAGGAAAAATAAAAATTAACTGAAATAAAGAATTAACTGCAACTTTTACAATATAATCATTGGTAATGTGGTTGTCAAAATTTCAACTCATGATCATGGATAATACTAAAAGCTATAAAAATCCAAAAAATGGGTTTAATAGATAAGAAAAGTCTTGGGTTTATAGTTGCTTATGTAACAACGACAAAAAACAACTTAGAACACTTAATTTGTACAACACAATTTTCTCGATACAGCAATTCTAAATATCACGGGGTAAATGTGTGAAGGTTATATCCCAGAGCCCGGGAATACCTTTCCAGACGCTGTGTAAATAGCCGGCTGGTTTGTCCCTTTATCAGGGGCACCCAAAGACGGTTTGCTGCTAAATACATATCACTGATTAAAAACACTTTTTAGGCAGTTCAGAGTGCTTTTAGATCTCTAGAATTGCATTCTAAGCGGCGCTATAAAATTGGTACGAGTTCGTTCATTTAGAGGAGCTTGAGTGTGTTCTAAATCTCAAGGGCTCAAAGTTTTAAATGCAATTTGACGTATTATGAAAGTGAGAATTTTTCTGATTCCTCTCTTCATCAGACCTATGAATCCGAAAATTCCAGGCTTCCGTTTTTTTAAGAAAAATGGCCTAACCTGGGCAGTGAATTGTAATTGAACTTCAGAAAATCATAGGGAAATAATTAGATAAGGTTCGAAAATTTTTCATGAATGGAATGGTCATCTAGATATTTTTAGCCTTCCTTAAGTAAAAGGAAATTCAGAATATAATTGACCTCTCCGAACAGATATTTGACAGAAATCAGTCGAGGGGAGGCTCCGCTTTATGACCCTTAAACATAATCTTCGGGATTTTTTTCGCGATTATCTGAGTAGTGTGCCCGTAAGCCTAGTAAGGTTCATCTCCACGATATATAGGCAACGCCTCTTACACTTAAAATTAAGAGGGTAAATAACCCCCTGCCAAGGCAGATTTATTTCCAGTGAGCTGATGTCACTTCTCTCTGTAATAAAAACAGGCGGTCGGGGGGGTTATGTGCCTTGAGATAACCATCACCTCCTTGAGAAAAGGCGTTCCTCTTGAGTGTGCAAAACCAACACATTTATTTATTTACTATTATTATTATTAATTATTATTATTATTATTATTGACAATAAAAAATAAAAACCGATTAAGATACAGATACAAATAAAGGATCGTCCCGATTGCCCCTGCAAATTTTTTTCTGATGACATTAGCGTACGAACCTATGGGCCAATAATGTTACGTAATTTACCTTTTCGAAAGCAAAGGCCGGTACAGAAGTCAATGTGAAATTAGTTTGTTGTAGACAGGTAAATCTTCGAGAATACTAATTTCTGTTACTGATCCAGGGATTACAGATAGAGTAAGTTGTAAACAGCTGCCTTCTTGAACATTACTTTTAGTCTTCAAGCCATGTTTGAGACGAGCCCGTCACAATTCCAAGTCTAACCTCGCTTGATTTTTGAAAATGTACCTGCCAAAATAGACCCCTTCCGTAAAGCTTGTTTTCGTTCAAAAAACCAGCGGCCCCAATGAAGTCAACGTAAAAACTTAGAGTTCAACCCCATTGCTTTTTTCTCTTCGTCTCCTTTCTTTCCCCTCCAGCTCGCTCGAGTCCCTCTATTTTTTCCTTCCCGGCCCTTTTCCTCCCTAATAAGATTTTCGGTCATGCCAATGCCCGAAGCGAGCCTATTTGACCACAGGTACCCCAAGCTCGAAACGTTACGCAATAATACCGATGCTCATGTAAAAAAACCTATCGTTTCTGTAACCTACGAAAATGAAACGATTTTAATCAAAAAACAGCTTACCTTGCTAAAAATGTGTGTTACGTCTCTCCTGTATGGTCCATGAGCCGATTTACGGTCGTTTCACCGGTTGTAATGTAACCTGTTTTCTCTCTATAAGGGACCACACAGGAGAGACGTAACACACAGTTTTAGTAAGGTAAACTGTTTTTTTTATTGAAATCCTTTCATTTTCGTAGGTTACAGAAACGATACGTTTTTTTCCCATACAAATTCTTACTGATTTCGAATATTACGCAACAATACCGATGCTAATATTTCGAGCTTGGTTTACCTGTGATTTTTTTTAATTTGGCCTCTTTGCAGTTAAATGGTAGCAATTTTCGGTAGGTATGTTTTCAAAAATCTTGCTAGATATAAATTAAAGCTACATAAAAAAAAGGTTTGAAGTAAAGTTAAGCAACTCAAAAAGTAGTACAACTATCAAATGAAAGGAAAGAACATGCAGCTACTTTGGTTAAAAATTCAGTTCGCTTCTACATCTGTGCAGTCTGTGCATACGTGTCCAGTTGTCGCCTGAGATAAAAAAGTTCCGTTTCTTTTAGATAAAATTGTTAACAGTTTGGCTGATATTACTTATTGGCGTCCAGTGCAATCCTTTGAAGAACTATCGCTTTATTCTCCTTGTTTTTCTCGCCAGCAGACTGGGAAGCAGCGGGCCGTTTTGCGACGAAAAGTGCCATTCGTTCATGCGCTGGTAGGCGATTATCCAGGCTCTGTCGATCAAACATCAAGCGGTGATGGACCTTCCTGTTTCGAGTGAAATGAAGGAGAGGCATTTCTTTTTCTTCAGGAGTTTAGGAACAGAAATCAAGAATCTGAAGAGCAATTTAGATAGGATGATCCTGTGCTTACTGTGTTAACAAAGTAATGAGCAATCAGTTGCATTTTTAGTGGATAATTTAAAAGGGATTTAACCTACGTGTTCTAAAGACGGTGATAAGAGATCCCCTCACCGTAATTGGTTTAAAAAAACACAACGATTTTTAATGCATGCAAATTTGATGTTGTTTTTCAAGTACTGAAATCTGGCGTCCTTTTAATCACGAAATGCTGTATTAAACAGTGACATCTCATAAAGAAAGAGCTGCAAAACTTCGGAGTTGCTTACTTAATTTAGGTGGACCCAAATTAGAGTTAGTTTCGTCTCATGAAGTAAGTAAAAAAACATGAAAAAATGAAGAGGGGGTGGTCTATCTCCGTCAATATGCAACGTATTGACACGTCAAATTTACGTGAGAGCTTAAAAAGATTAAGTCTTATTGAAAGTTGTAAAGATAAGGATCACGTGACTCATTAAGGTATCTAATTACCATTTTTAATTCCAGACCATCTGTAGGAGAACTTATGCACTCTTATCTCAACAAATAACGGGCGGAAAGTGTTTTGCGTATCGGGAGTTACACGAAACTAACTGGAAGGCACGTCCAGGTTACGTGGTCATTGAAATGTAACGATTTTCTGTCACCTGACAGCCAGGAAACATTCATCAAGGGTAGGCATACTACCATTCCAGTTAAGTTTGAAAAAAGTACTTTTAGATAGGTAAAAAAACAACACCAATAATTATTAACCTGCCTGCAGAATCCTTAAAGAAAAAAAATTACTGAAGTGAAAGCGTTACTTCGTCACGCAAGACGTTACCATGGTGATGTCAATCTCAAAAATACTACTATCTTAACAGAGATAATGCAATAACCACGTCTTACCCTTGCCACAAATTTGCTTTTGAAGATAGACCACAAAAAAATGGCAGACCCAGGCCTTAAATCACCTGAGTTTTTAGTTGCGACTGCCGCTGGTTCTTTCGCCAATTATTAACAGTTTCTAGGATGAGGCTAAGTAAGACCTGAAGAATTATATGTATGACATCGAGTAGGTGTTACCAGAGGCGTCGCTGCCTTTAAGCTATTATACGCCCGGGCACAACAAGAACTTTGGACAACATGAGCTAGCGTAATATCGTGAAAAGGCGTAAAAAAAGGCAGCTCGCGATTATCTGATTAAAGTGCCCGTAAACTTTGCAAGATTCATCTCCACGATATATAGACAAGGCCTCTTATACTTAAAAAGAGGTGAATTAACTAACCCTCTGCCAGCGAAGATTTATTTCCAGCTGATATCATTTCTTTCCATAGTAAAAACAGGCAGTCGGGGAGTTTATGTGCCTTCAGATAACCATCGCCACCATGAGAAAAGGCGTTCCTCTTCAGCGTGCAAAACCAACGCATTTATTTATTTATTATGATC